TATCCCCGAAGGGGTAGGCAGAGGTGCACATAGAAGTAACACCCACTTTTCACTATTTATGTTATGAGTCCCATGTAATAGGGGGTGAGCCTATTGCCATATACCGGGCACATTTCCAGACCCCGTGCTACTACTGAGATTTTAAAAAAACCCCAGTAATACTTTGCCCGACCCGGGAATCGAACCCGAGACCCCTTGCCCGGCAGTCGCACTTGCGACCACTCGGCCAATGAGGCAGTCTCATCAGAGTCAGATTTAAATAGACTTAACAAATTAATACTATTCGAGTTGTTATCCAAGAAATCAACATTAAAATCGCCACATACTATGGTACTCTTACTAATGGAAAACGTTTTCCGCAGTAAATCCTCCAACACTGAGCTCAAAATATTTAGGTTTTGAAAATTAGGAGAAATCTTTACCAAAATCAGACTACCGGCATGTATCATGGTTTGACGGCTATAATAATTACCCACACAATAGTTTTCAAGAATAATAGATTTTACTTGATAGTCATGTCCCACGGGAACGGGAACTATGCATCAATGCCCCAGGACTCTCTAACTCTTAACCACTGAACTTATTCTAGAGAGATTCGGTACAACAATAGTCGATAGAATAGTTTTTATTACTCAAACCTTACGTGATCGGGCACTGTACTGGTAAGATTATTTATTTATTGAAACTACGATAAATCATTTCAAAATAGGTAAATCTTACTTGGGCACTGAATTGATTCTTATTAATTCTGTCAGAAGTCATTAATCTACGCGGACGAAGTCGCGGGCAACAGCTAGTCGTCTATATTGCTTATAAAATGCGCACCTTCCATTGCCATACCTATCTCCAGTGGCGTGCAGTCCATAAAGGCGAAAAGGCTTTGCCTAACTTATAAATATCGTGAATATATAACATACATAAAATGTACAAACGCGTTTATTAAGATTCAATAATATAATAAAAGTTTGTAAAAAAACGGCTAACATAAATATACATTCACATATATATTATACACGGACCGCACGCCTTTGTAAAGCAATGAATGCGCCCCGTACGCACCACGCATGCGCAGCTATTCCTTAAATCTTGGTTGCCAGTTGTGATGTCACAAAAGTAATGTACTAAAAGTATGCACCGCGCATGCGTGAAGATCACGACCATAGTCACGTGACAGAATAACCATTCATAATTATATTACACGATTCCTGTTGATTGACAAAATTTTGGCAACTAAAAAATTAGAGGATCGTTCGTTCATTACTTGGAAAACGATCGTAATTTATTAAGAATTCCAAAACAATAAAACAGCAACAAGTTATTGTATTTTTAAAAACAATTAAATCATAAAAGGTTTTAAATTGATACAATCTGTATATCGTAAAGTACTGATGAATGGAGTACACCAGCGCCATCTATTGAATTTTTTGTTGAAACTTCTGAACTCGTTCGATATAATGCGAATGTATTTTTATAAATGCGTATTTAACAAATATTTTTCAAGTGTTTCAATTAAAGCTTAACATTTTTACGCGTTTTCGGTTTATAGACATTTTAATCGAGGAGTTGACTTTATTATTATAAAAGTTAAAAGGAAGTTATTGAAACGTCAAGATGGCGCCATTTACAACGTTTCAAATTATATGAATGAATGGTTTTTAGTATGAAATATTGGTTTAAGACGATGATACAATTTCATTTGACTTACTAAATTAACCTTTGTTTTTTTTAATTAAACACTGCGTTACCTTAATTTTTAAGCTACATTTTTTAAAAATAAACACTCAATTGACTATTGGTAATGACTTCAATTCATTTCCAATGTTTTCGGCCATATTGTTTTCATGTGATGTGCGATCGCTTTGTTTATGTTTTCGTTTAAATTATTAGGAATTAGTTTTAAACATAAAGTTGCGTAAATATGTGTAGTAGTAGTTAAATATATGTGTAGGTTTTTCAAATAGTGTATTTGTTTATCAGTTTCTAGTACAAGTACCTATATTATTCGATTGTGAAGTTCGTGTGGATAATAGGTAATTTTATGTGTTTGTTGAAAGTAAAAACAGTAAGATTTCGCAAGAAAATGTCCTTTATCGGACTAGATTCCGGTAATGACCATAGGCAGAGGTGTACTCGAGTTACGAGAATTGACTATTGACCCAAGTAAAAGGTAGGTAATGTAAATATGTACTATATAATGGATCTTTTATTTGATTTACTTGTTTATTATTTGATAATTCTTAAAAATATCAACTTAGACTTCGGGTTGTACTGATTTACATATTAATTTATTATTAATAACTATGTAATGTAATAAACTAAAAACCGCATAGACTCGGCTCGGCCACAGCCGGCCGCGCTTGTTATTGTTTTGTTTGTTGACATAATGTAGGTACCTACGCTCTTAAATTCGTAATATGTACCTCTATATTATGATTTTGAACAGATTGATTAAACTTAACAATTCCATAATGAAATTTGGTTCATCAAATTTATGCTTAATTATTAAAATAAATAATAGATCCTTCATTATTTGTAAGTTTTGTTGGCTTATTCAATAGCTGATGAAGTACTTCACAAAAAATACGCGAGATGTCAGTGTATGTAATTTGGCGAAAGAATAAACCACAATATTCTTGAAGGCACTTTTCGAAATGTATTTTGTACATGTACCTGCCTTGTGTGAGCATGATTGTATGACCGGCGGGGGGGGGGGGGGGGGGGGGTAATCATACGATATTTAGTTGCCTACCCTGTCTCGAAAACCTTTGCACGCCACTGCCTATCTCCATTCTGTTTTCTAAATCGTTGACTCAAGGTTTAGATCCCAAAATATGGAAAGCTGCCTTTATTACGCCAGTTTACAAGAAGGGGTCAAGAACCGAGATCACTAGACCACCGATCACCGAGCGGCAACCTCTTGAGATGGTTCGTTTCATACATCGACAATAGGTCACAAGCAGTGGTATTCAATAACTACATTTCTAGCTGGGTAAATGTACCCAGCGGAGTGCCTCAGGGATCGTTGCTCGGTCCTTTTCTATTCGTGATCTATGTAAACGACATCAACAAGTGCTTTCATACATCCAAACTTTTATGTTTTGCTGACGACATGAAACTGTCAGCTACTATCTCAACTCCTGACGATGGTCTGGCACTCCAGGCGGATTTACATCGGCTTGATGAGTATTGTCGGAACTGTCAAACGAATAAAAAAAAATCGTCAAATTTTCAAAAAATTCACTGATGCCAAGACCCTTAAGATACTATATTGCCTTATGTCAGGAGCCAGCTGGAGTACGCGTCTCAGGTATGGAATCCAAGATATCAGAAATATATTGACCGCGTGGAAAACATTCAAAAACGTTTTATAAAATATCTCTAAACATAACATAATATAACATCACGCCTTTTATCCCCGAAGGGGTAAGCAGAGATGCACATTATGCCACTGTACAATGTAACACCCACTTTTCACTATTTATGTTATGAGTCCCATGTAATAGGGGGTGAGCCTATTGCCATATACCGGGCGCAATTCCAGACTCCGTGCTACTACTGAGAATTTATAAAAACCCAGTTATACTTTGCCCGACCCGGGAATCGAACCCAAGACCCCTTGCCCGGCAGTCGCACTTGCGACCACTCGACCAACGAGGCAGTCTCTGTTTTCACCAAAGTATACCATACCAGTCTGCCCGTTATCTTGAACTCTGTAGAACATTCCATCTGTTACCATTGGTAGATCGACGCAACATTGCAGATTGTCTATTCTTGTTGAAGGTTCTTAACGGCAATGTGGATAGTCCAGAACTATTATCAAAAATCAAATTTAATGTACCTAATAAAATATTTAGATTTAATCCACCTTTACACGTATCCCGTTCCTCATCTAACTACAGGCAGAACAGCTACATTATGCGTGCAAGCGGACACTTTAACAATGTTTGTAAGGAATATGACTTCGATCCGTTTATAACTAGTGTGAACTCGGCAAAGAGGTGCTTAAGCCTCAAATTTATCGTTTCTCTTGATCTGTTTATAATCATATTGTCTGCACGGTCTGTTTCAATATTTAAATTTTTCATTTACACAGAATGTATTTATTTTTAATATTGTATAGTACTCACACCATATTAATTAATTTATTCCAAATCCTAAACGTGAGGACTTGTTATTGGCTCATTGTTACCTACGCCTATTGTTATTTTTATCCATTTTTATAAGCTGTAAGTCCTCCATGAATTATAAATAAATAAATTATATACTTCGCTACCAAATAACTAATGCTAGGTTGATGTGGTGAGTACTGATGTATACGAGTGCTGTACATATACTGGCTCTTTATACAGTGATTTGAGTAAAGCGATGTAAAAGTGCCCTGTACGGTACATGACTCGTACACCTCTGTAAACTATTAGTGTAGATGTAGATTATTGTATCCTTTTCACAAAAAAATGTACTTAACTAAATCGATTCAATCACTTCAAAAAACTGTCGCAAATCGAAACGAACGATCTGATTTTAGTCAGTTAGAATAAATAATATTTTTAAGCGTAGGTAAGTGTAAGTTCAATAAGTAATAAAATTACTTTTTATTTTAAATTCAATTGTTTATATGTTTTCCCTCTTTATGAGACTCGCGAGAGGGGTCTCATAAAGAGAATGTTGAAAAATAGATTTGCAACACTGATAAAATATGGCGGCAATTAGTTAGGTCATAAACATAAATTGATTAATGTAGTTTTTAATTATTTAACGATGGATAAGCGACCTGTTTAGTACTTTTTGACCTTTATTTATAATTTTAGCACAATTTATACCAACTTATTCTGTAGCGTGCATGCACGTAGTGACGCGTGGGTGACACGATTGGTACTACTTGATAGGAAAGTGCATTGCAGTGAACAGACTGACTGACACTTCATCCTTATATAATCAAAGTCTACAAAATAGAACGCGGATATATCGCTCACCTTCAGTCTCCAACTCGCAAGTGACACCTTCCTCCAAGCAGTTCTGAATGTAGAACCACTTGAGCACGTTCTGTCCGACTGCCAGGGGGCCATCGGTGGCGTCGGGCAGGGAGAAGCGATCGTATCTGTAGTAGCAGGGCGACACGCCCAGCTCCGGGTACAGCGACTGGTAGAACTCCTGGCACTGCGCCGCCGACGGCTCCGCCCCGCTCGACGCGGCCGGCTTGTTGTCGCTGCCAGGGGGGACAGCAGAGTTTTAATAACGGTCCGGTAGTTGGTAATTTAGTGTTATGATTGAAAACATATATTTCCCCCATTGTGGTTTTAAACAAAGTGTATTGCAGGTATTCACATGCTTCGGCACGAATGGGCCGGCTCGACCGGAGTCATACCATGGCCTCACAAAAAACCACTTGCGTTGTGATTCGTCGTGTTCGTGAGGTTACCGGAGGCTTAAATACCGCAATCTCCAGTCAATCCCCGAATCCCGAACAATCCTCAGGTTCGTAATCTCCAAAAGATCGATAACGCACTTGCAACGCGTCTGGTGTTTCAGGTGTCCATAAGCGGCGCCGTTTGCTTATCATCAGGTGATGCGCCGGTTCGTTTACCAGTTTATACCATAAAAAATATTTGTAGTAGTAGGATACCTTGATGTAATAAATAGTAACTGCACGTATTCTATTCGATCGTCTTCTCTAGATACAAATAAGTTGCATATTTGTATCTGCATCATTTCATTTCAAGCCAAGGTTTTTATTATTTTACTAGCTGTCCCGCGACTCCGGTAAACTCCGCTCACTGACTCACCTGATAGCGAACTTATTCTGAAAAGTGTCCAGTAAGTAGTTAAACAATGGAATCTTCACGTCTGATTGAGCGGGAACCAGGTCCTTTTTCTCCACCATAGGCTGGAAGATTAGATACAATATTACATTGCGGCTATGACGAGATGGACAAGTGTATATTTATGTATTGGACGATATTGAACACATCTTCTCAGTCTTGCATAAAATGAAGAAAAGGTGAAAACTAGTGTTTTTCTACTTCAATACAATATTTTAATTATAAATAACATTGCTTCGCTTCGCTACTAGAGACTTCGGCTTAAGGCACTTGTCCCAGCACCGACGAGAAAACGACTAACTATGGACTATTTTCTCGATCAAGAACCGTATGATAGACAACACATTCCGCGTAAACAAAAGAGATGCATATATGAATAGTTAATCGCGGACTGTTCACACTGCCGAGCTTTCGCAAGAACTGCTATCGACTCGTTTCATCGTTGCCAGTGAAACAATCACCTAAAGGAGTTGCAGGAAGAGAAAACAAATACTGACCGTTGTGACGGCGTCAGCAAATTCGTCATCAGTGGAAGGCCACCGCTCGCTGAGACTACTGTGTTCTCTGAGGGTCACACCCATTTGTTGCAGGCTTTCTAGTTCCAGAGCCATTCTGTTGACAAACAAGGTCGATCGCATACACCAATACTGCATAGTGAAGTCTAGAAGATCCATGTTCAACCGTTACAATCATGCTAAGATTAAGAATGAAACAGGAAAAGGTCACGAATTTATTCGGGAAAATTGGAAAATGGTTGAATAGATAATTTATGGGCATTCCGTGTGAAGCGGAGAACCAAAACCATAAGTGGTGATCAAAGGACATTGGACGCAGAGTCCATACATTGTTGGCGGTGGAGCCAAGAGTATCGGATAATTATGTATTGTATTCGTTATCATTTGTGGGCGCCTAGAAGATCTTGTTTTTATAGCGGACTAGTGCAAAAAATATATATTTCAAAAAGTATCAGATTTTAAGGTTATAATCTGTACCCTAATATTTAATCCAGACTTCTAACTTTACGTCTGCAAAAATTCAAAGCAATCGGTTAAGTAGTTACAAACAAACAAACTCAAGTGTAATTAAAAGTGTATCTCCCATTGTCTCACCAGTACTTAGTTATATTATTAATTTGTGTTTTGAAACAGCTGTATTTCCAGACAGACTAAAACTGGCAGTTATTAAGCCTATATTTAAAAAAGGTAGCAAACAGGACCCAGCTAACTATCGTCCTATTGCATTGCTTCCAATTTTTTCCAAAATATTAGAAAAAGTCATCTATAATGAAATATACTCATTCTTTGAAAATAAAAATCTTTTTGTAGATGAACAATATGGCTTTAGGAGAAAAAAGAACATAAACTTGGCAATTCTACAATTATATGAAAAAATTATCATGAGTGTAGATGAGAGGAATCCGGTGGCTGCTCTATTCATGGATATGAGCAAGGCGTTTGATTTTGTAGATCGCACAATATTAATTAATAAAATGGAACGATATGGAGTGAGGGGTAATGCCCTCAACCTTATTAAATCATATCTATCAAATAGAAAACAGATTACACAAATAAATAAAATTAACATTAACACTAAAATTGAGCAAAAATATACTTCTAATCAGAGACAAAATAACTATGGAGTCCCACAAGGCAGCATTATGGGATCCCTCTTATTTATAATTTATATTAATGACATGCCTAAGATAACAGGTCATCCAATGGTCCTGTTTGCAGATGACAGCACAGTGATCTTCAGTACAAATAATAATGACTTAACACTTGAAACAGAGATAAATCAATGCTTAGGATCATTAATAGAATGGATGACCGAAAATAATTTAAAAATAAACATTGACAAGACTAAAATAATGACATTTGAACAAAAAACTAATCACAATAAACTTGACATTAGATACAAAGACAAAATAATTGCAGAAACAGTATCCACGAAATTCCTAGGAATAGAACTAGACAGAGACATGTCATGGCGAACTCACACAAATACCATATGTAAGCGACTGAATAAGCAGTCATACGCCCTATACAAACTCGCAAAAGAAGTAAACCAGAGTATTGTCATCACGGCGTGTAGGGACACTTACGTACACATCTATGTAAATGCATGTGCATGGCTGTGTGCGTAGGGCGTCGTATCATATTGCTATTCCCTCCTTAAATTAGAATAAAGACCAGTCTTCATATAACGGTGTGCCGGGCCGGTACTTTTGTTAAACTTGCATTTTGTATGATAATTTCGTGTGTCTTAATGTGAACAATATAATTTACCAGTGGCGTTCTGAACTTTCATTTATCTCTGACATTCATATAGACTCAACCCCAAAATTGGTGACCCCGACGTGATATGCTCGTACGGTTGCAGGTAGATGCCCCTGCCATAAGACTCTCAAGGTATCGTCCGGTATTTTATCTCGGGCCAAATCTCGCATTCGGTGCAGGAGCTGAGAGGGCTTTTGATCGCCCAGCTCCATTTCGCCGATGAGTTTTTCAATTTGCCGGGTTTTTGAGTCTTCCAGTAGTGTAAGCAATTTCGTCTTCAAGGCCATGAACTTGCCAGTTTCGGGAGGTTTTGATAGGAAATCTGACAACTGCGCAATAACATCCTTGGGTAATTTTGATACCACCAAATCGAATCTTGCGTCAAATGTTACCTACGTGTAATAAGTCCGTTTATTGCGAAATTTCTAATGATATTATGAGACCATATTTGACCGATAAATTTAGGAGAACTGCGTTTGACAGTGTTCATGGGTTAAGCCACCCTGGTGTGCGTGCAACCCGTAAAATGATGGCCAAACGCTTCTTTTGGCCGGGGATGAATCGAGATGTAGGTCAATGGGCTTCGGCATGCATACAATGCCAAAGGTCAAAGGTTAGTCGACATGTGATCTCCGGTTTAGGCGAATTTCCTAAGGCCAACCGATTTGAGCACATCCATGTGGATATTGTTGGTCCTTTACCAACATCTCCACAGGGATTTAGATATTTAATAACCATCATTGATAGATGCACGCGTTGGCCGGAAGCATTTCCGGTGCAAGAAATTAGTGCAGAAGTAGTTTCCAAATACATATACGAAGGTTGGATTGTCAGATATGGCTGCCCCATTCGCATTACTACCGATCAAGGCCGACAATTTGAGTCGAGTTTGTTTCGTAAATTAATGATTTTTTTAGGAATACATAAGATACGCACTACGCCATACCACCCTCAAGCCAATGGCGCCGTAGAGAGATGGCATAGGTCTCTAAAAGCTGCACTCATGACTCGGTTGAACGGAAATACAACTTGGGTAGAAGAATTACCGACGGTTTTGTTTGGGCTTCGCGCAGCGATTCGTACGGATAGCCAAATCAGCGCGGCAGAATTAGCTTTTGGAAAAACTATACGTTTGCCAAGCGAATTTTATGACGGATCGCAAGAAACAGATTGTAATGATCCAAGTAGTTTGGTTGAGAAAATACGAGAGAATATCAGTCATTATCGTCCAACGAGAGACAGTGTAGACTCGCGTAAGATTTTTGTTTATCCTGCGTTGCAGGATTGCGAATATGTTTTTGTACGAGATGATAAGGTCCATAAATCACTTAAACAGCCTTACGATGGGCCATATAAGGTTTTAGAGAGATCTACGAAAGTATTTAAAATTCAGTTACCCGAACGCGAAGCATATATTTCAATAGATCGATTGAAACCTGCTTTTGTAATTAAGGAAAATGAAAGTTCAGTAAGTAATAATGTACCTATCATACCCAGTGACGATTCCCGGTTGTCACATAATACACCACAGGTGTTGTTAGATAAGCATAAAGTAACACGATCCGGGAGAGTAATTCGAACACCCGTGCGATTTGCGTTATAGGTAGTCGTAGTTCTCATGAGAATAAATTAGTTCGTGACTCTTTTGGCACAGTAGGCATTTTCAGCAATGTCTGTTATTGAATATGCATTATCTTTCCTATGTTTATTTTATTTTAGGATTGTCATAATAAAGTTATATACCTTTGTAAAACTCATGTTTTTATGTACACATTTATATTCAGGTATGCGTTACATATATACACATTCTTTTACATAAATAAGTAAACGAAGTCGCTGGTATGTTGGTGTATGCAAGTTATGTTTGTATAAATATGCAATTCGATAATTTTACTGTATAAGTTGTTTGAACAATGTGCTAGGTAAGATGATATTGTTAAATTTAAAAATAATTGCAACAACTTATGCTTACCTAATGATTCAATGAAAATGTTTAATTTTATCGTTGTGAAACTAATTATTGCGAATTAACAAAATAATTTAGGTTACATTATTTGTATGTTATTTGTAAGCGTATATTAACTACGTTAGCATGTATTATTATTAAGAAACCAATTGTTAAACTTTAAAAGCCACTAAATTTGATTCATTTTGCCTTAGACTGTCTGTAAGAAAAGTTCTTATCAATTAAATTATGGGTAATTACAACTCTAAAGAAAATATAGCCGTAGCTCAGGCCCAAGTCAACACGGGCGAGCTGACAAATAAATTAAATAATATGGGGCTGTTACTGATTGTTTTGGCAACGTTAGTGGTGGGCGTAATCATCTTCGGGATGCGTCAACTTTGCCATCATAGAGTAAAAACTTGGCTCCGACGGGAAGTCGTCCTAGCCAATGTAAACCCGCCTGTGGTTCGTGTCCAGTCCGTGCCGCAGCAGCCGGCCACCGCCGCTGCTGCCCCTCCTAGCGCTGGTATCACCACGGCGTATATTTAGTGTATAGTGTAGTGTATGTGTGTAGTTTTAATTAATAGCACATTAATATTGTACTTTTGTAATTCCTTGTAGTTCTGTTTAGGTTTTATTTTTATTTAGAGGGGGAATGATGTAGGGACACTTACGTACACATCTATGTAAATGCATGTGCATGGCTGTGTGCGTAGGGCGTCGTATCATATTGCTATTCCCTCCTTAAATTAGAATAAAGACCAGTCTTCATATAACGGTGTGCCGGGCCGGTACTTTTGTTAAACTTGCATTTTGTATGATAATTTCGTGTGTCTTAATGTGAACAATATAATTTACCAGTGGCGTTCTGAACTTTCATTTATCTCTGACATTCATATAGACTCAACCCCAAAACGGCGTATCATGCATGTGTAACATCGATATTACGATATGGTATTATTTTCTGGGGTAACTCCTCGAATACAGACATAGTATTTAAAGCACAAAAGAGATGTGTTAGGGCAATATGCGGTATTCAAACAACAGACAGTTGTAAACCGTATTTTGAGAAATTACGTATATTAACATTACCATGTCTGTACATATATGAGGTAGCAATGTTTGTGAAAGGGAACCCTAGACTATTTGAAACATTAAAAAGCGCGCGTAACAAAAATAAAATCCGTTATAGACAACACAAGAAAGCAATCTTTCACAAGAGCTTTTTAGGGATGGCACCATCGATATATAACAGACTACCTAAACATTTACTCGAAACCAGGGAAATCAATGTGTTTAAAGTAGAACTGAATAAATTTCTTGTAAAAAAGGCATACTATTCGATAAAAGAATATTTAACAAACATTGTCATAATATGACTACAGAAATATTGACATATTGTTATTGTTATTGAACTTTTATTTCTTGACATTGATTAATATTGTATAATTATGACTTACCTATTTGATATTTGTATTTTTCTTTAATCATTTTTAAGTATGTTGTATAATTATTTTAGTTTAGTATTTTGACAATATACGTTTTGACATATTGACATTGTATTTAGCATTTAAACATTATAAGAAATATTTTAACACTTTGATGGAAATAACACTGATACTTCTATTTACTGTCATGTACCAAGCAAAATCATAGATGTGTGATTGAATCAATTTACTTGGCATTATTGTAATTACTAGTTTTTTTTTTTAATTTATTCTATAAAGCATGATTAACATAATATTTCTACACCAGCAATGGTAGTGTATGTGAAACAATATTTAATGTAAAACCTCAATGTACCATATACTTGGAAATAAATGACATTCTATTCATTCTATTCTATTCTATTCTATTCATTTTCCAATTTATAATATTAGTAAAGATACAACTAAGAAAATATCACGTACTCACGTAAAAATATAGCGCTGAGATGGTACATTACACGCATAGCACACAATCATAGTGTCGTATGTGTGTACATAGGATAAGTTTAGTATATAAGATCATGTAGAATAAGAAATAAATCAGTCACTAGATGATTCCGACTTTGACTCACTACTCTTCCTCCACCACTCGGTGGAGGAAGCTCCGCCTCTCGCTGTGGCCAAGACACCTTTAGCCATTAACCAATCTGTCGTGTGAGTCTGCTCGACATGCAGTGAGAAACCCTTCACCACCATACCCATTTCCTATCCACATTCCGTCTGCCATCACAGGTCTCAGGTGGCGGATATCCCGCACCAATCTATATAAGTATATACCTCTATAAATACGTATAGTAGGGCTAGGGTCTTTTTTTTTTTAAGGGGGGAAAATCATCGATTGCCTGCTCCCGCCTGAGTGAGGCGAAAGGGAGTGTCAGACTCTTACTGACTAAAAACCACCCTACTTTTACTACTCCCTACTTCACTTTCGACACGATGTTACATTGGACTTGCTGATTTATTTATTTATTACATTAGGCGAAAGCATTTCGCATTAAGGCGAAGATGGCGATCTAATGGTAATAATCGCGTTAAATTCTATTAAAAGTACATTTTGGAATACAGCTAGTCCGTGATTTGCAACTTATATACAGAAGTATTTGCAACTTATATAATAAAATAGGAGATTAATACACATTCCGATACTCATTATAATGAGTGAACGTGAATAATGAGTAATGAGTGAGAGTTTGTAATTCATCAAAATATAAAGTTTCATCTCTACTATTATGGTCGTCCGCTTCACGAGGGATACCCCTCCGGCAGTACAGCGCGGCAAGACGAGTACCTACCTGTCGCGGAGGTTGGCCTCGATGTCCGCCGCCGGGCAGTGCGCCAGCGCCGCCGCCAGCAGCTGGCGCCGCGTGGCCGCGTCCGCGTGCGCCTGCGCCGCGCGCCCCACCGCGCTCAGCAGCCCCGCCGCCGGCGCGAACCGCAGCGCCGCCAGCCGCCGCGCCAGCTCCACCGCCGCCGCGCCCCCCGCGCCCCCGCCCGCCATGGCGCGCGCAGCCGCCAGCTGCAGCACCTGCCCCTCCCTGCACACAGTGTGAGCACATACACATCGCGCCCCCCGCGCCCCCGCCGCCAGCTGCAGCACCTGCCCCTCCCTGCACACAGTGTGAGCACATACACATCGCGCCCCCCGCGCCCCCGCCGCCAGCTGCAGCACCTGCCCCTCCCTGCACACAGTGTGAGCACATACACATCGCGCCCCCCGCGCCCCCGCCGCCAGCTGCAGCACCTGCCCCTCCCTGCACACAGTGTGAGCACATACACATCGCGCCCCCCGCGCCCCCGCCGCCAGCTGCAGCACCTGCCCCTCCCTGCACACAGTGTGAGCACATACACATCGCGCCCCCCGCGCCCCCGCCGCCAGCTGCAGCACCTGCCCCTCCCTGCACACAGTGTGAGCACATACACATCGCGCCCCCCGCGCCCCCGCCGCCAGCTGCAGCTCCTGCCCCTCCCTGCACACAGTGTGAGCACATACACATCGCGCCCCCCGCGCCCCCGCCGCCAGCTGCAGCACCTGCCCCTCCCTGCACAGTGTGAGCACATACACATCGCGCCCCCCGCGCCCCCGCCGCCAGCTGCAGCACCTGCCCCTCCCTGCATACAGTGCTCACACATACACACCGCGCCCCGCGCCCCCGCCCGCCGCGCCGCTAGCTACAGAACCTGCCCCTCCCTGCATACAGTGCTCACACATACACACCGCGCCCCGCGCCCCCGCCCGCCGCGCCGCTAGCTACAGAACCTGCCCCTCCCTGCATACAGTGCTCACACATACACACCGCGCCCCGCGCCCCCGCCCGCCGCGCCGCTAGCTACAGAACCTGCCCCTCCCTGCATACAGTGCTCACACATACACACAGCGGCCCCGTGCCCCCGCCCGCCGCGCCGCTAGCTACAGAACCTGCCCCTCCCTGCATACAGTTCTCACACATATCCTGCTCCTACTTGAGGGAGTCTCCAGTCCCAAAAACATGCTTATAAAATCATACACAATAATTATTTAATTACGAAAAAAATCATGATTGCTTTAAACTCGATGTCTACATCTCAGTATTTAAATGAAAAAAATGTTTTAGAGGGGAAAATCATCCAGGGGCACCGTAGAGGGCCATGCACCGCACAACCCCGGCGTACATTCTCCGGCAGGAGGCATTTGGCCCCCCGAGGTTCGGTAGGAGGCGCTAGTGCAGCCCCCGACCGTTCCAACTAAGGAGCCAAACGTCGGAAGTGCTCCATGAAGTTCCACCGACTGTCGAGGACGAGTCCCAGGTACTTCATCGTCGCGTCGTCTCGACGCCGATGGTAACTCCTCCTGCCGTTATTTGGGACTCACTCGGAGGTGGCGCGTTTCTTCTATGAAGAAATTCAGAGATCCACATCGCCCACTCAGTAAAAAGTGCCAAGAAAAATATATCAGACATGTTTCGCTTACCTCGCCTGTTCGTCGTCATCCGCTATCCTCAGTAGGGTCGCAAGCTTCAGCAGCTTGTGGCTGGCTAAGTACGCGTTAGGATCCAACATGAGACACGCCTCTATCAGAGACATCCTATCTTCACAGATACGAACTAAAAACAAACAACAATTTATTGATAGAAATTATCATTTAAAACTAATATTACATATTTTTTGAAGTCAGTTAAAAACATTAATTATTAACACAAGCGCAAACAATGAAGAATATTTCAAGAAGTATCCTTGTATACAAGCATACAAGCATCGACATCTTACAGAGACACCCTATTGCGGAGTCCATAGAGTGTAGTGTGAACAAATGGAGAAAGTCTTACCTTGAACAGGAAGGACACCCACGTTGAATGAATGCAATATGGGGAGTGCATTGATCAAGTCCAACTCCTTTTGGATTTCCGCATTCTCGGCGTTTATAAGTTGCAAGCAACATCTGGAATCAGCGTTCAGTACTATTGCTTACGACAATTTCAGAAGAAAGTTCAATTCGCTATAAAATAAAAGCCGCTATTTGTACAGCGCTGTCATCCAAACCAAACCCGTACAAAAACTAAGAGTTCAATCAGGCAATATATTTGCCAGAAACTTGTACTATAAAACAAGTAGTCGTTGGAATGCAATGAAAGCATACTTGGCCAACTCCAAGGCCGGGTCGACGAGGCTGTTGGCGGAGTTGAAGTACTCGGTGGCGGCGGCGGACACCAGCGCCACGCTGGCAGGGTGCGGCACCTGCGCCGCGCGCTCCAGGGGGGAGCACGTCAGCACGGAGCGCGCCAGCTTTATACTGCCCGCGTCGCCCGACGTCAGCAGCGCCAGCGCGTAGATCTACATACACGTAAGTATTCTGCTACTTTTGACAACTTACGGAGTTAAAATGCCGAACATTCACTGCGTCTACTTGAAGTAAATAACCACTGCCAGAGCACATATGGCTGTTAGTGTTTGTTAATGAGTGGAGAAATATTGTAGTCAATGTGCTGATGAAGCAGCTCAGGGCAGGAGATTATGACAAGTTCCTAAAGTGTGTATCACAATCACATGAGCGTGATCAGTAGGCCAAATGCTCACATTAGGCCTACAAACTAGACTATAAACTCCCGGTAAACTTTCTAGGCAACCCCCATATTGTCTCCTACCATCGTATTGCAAACGAACTATAGTTTACTAACCCATTAGATATATCATTGTATCTGGCTTTTTACACCAAATAAACATTTTATTTTATTTTTTATTTATTTATTTATTATTTATTCTCTCGCCAACCCAAGGCGGGAGAAGTCATTGGATGATTTTCCCCCCTCAAAAAAAAAGTAGGTATATCATTGTATTAAAATTGTTTCTTATTTTTTTACTGTGGGGTAATATTTAATATTAAAAGGCAGTCTTACTTGCTTGGGACTACCAAATAAGTCTTGAATGGGTCATCTCTTTTACGACTGTTTTATTCACGACTCTGATCTGTATTTGTTGTCTATTGCTATTTATTAAAAAAATTTTTCACGAAATATTTGCATAATATTATTAAATATGCCTTTTAAAACCATGATTGAGTACAAATTACGAAAATAAAATATCCCATAAAGTAGGTAAAGAAAAGAAAAATGTATTAACGATGTGTCACGAGCGTCTATAATACCGGTATACATATAAACCTAAGGTATTTTATAACATGTTTATTATTAATATTATACTTACCTCGTAGCATTTATCCTTAGCGACACGGCAGAACAAAGTGCTCTGCAGCTCGAGTAGGTCTTTGAGTAGCTTATCCCAGTCTTGCGGTGTTGGTTTTTCTTCCCTATTTTAATATAGTAAGTTCGGAAAAAAATTACATTTTTTTAATATTTTGCAACTGGAGTATTAAAGGTATACTGTATGATTGAAATCCAAAGATTTGTATGACGTAATTTGCAGTTTACACAACACGTTTTACTAGTTCGAGTCGGTTAGTAATATTAGAATACTGAGAGGGACGAGTACCTGAGTGCGAGCGATCGCGCCAACTTGGTGAGGAGCTGCGCGGCGCGCTGCGGCTCGTCGCGCAGGCGCACCAGCTCCCGCGGCGGCACCAGCACCCCGCGGACGGACAGCCGCTCGCTGCCCGCCACCAGCCGCTCCACGCAGCGCACGCGCCGCACCAGCGAGCTGCTACTGATGCTGCCGTCGCTACGCAACGTACGCTTACACTCATACACTCACACATGCTGCCAGCGATCATTCCGCTCGCTGCCCGCCACCAGCCGCTCCACGCAGCGCACGCGCCGCACCAGCGAGCTGCTACTGATGCTGCCGTCGCTACGCAACGTACGCTTACACTCATACACTCACACATGCTGCCAGCGATCATTCCGCTCGCTGCCCGCCACCAGCCGCTCCACGCAGCGCACGCGCCGCACCAGCGAGCTGCTACTGATGCTGCCGTCGCTACGCAACGTACGCTTACACTCATACACTCACACATGCTGCCAGCGATCATTCCGCTCGCTGCCCGCCACCAGCCGCTCCACGCAGCGCACGCGCCGCACCAGCGAGCTGCTACTGATGCTGCCGTCGCTACGCAACGTACGCTTACACTCATACACTCACACATGCTGCCAGCGATCATTCCGCTCGCTGCCCGCCACCAGCCGCTCCACGCAGCGCACGCGCCGCACCAGCGAGCTGCTACTGATGCTGCCGTCGCTACGCAACGTACGCTTACACTCATACACTCACACATGCTGCCAGCGATCATTCCGCTCGCTGCCCGCCACCAGCCGCTCCACGCAGCGCACGCGCCGCACCAGCGAGCTGCTACTGATGCTGCCGTCGCTACGCAACGTACGCTTACACTCATACACTCACACATGCTGCCAGCGATCATTCCGCTCGCTGCCCGCCACCAGCCGCTCCACGCAGCGCACGCGCCGCACCAGCGAGCTGCTACTGATGCTGCCGTCGCTACGCAACGTACGCTTACACTCATACACTCACACATGCTGCCAGCGATCATTCCGCTCGCTGCCCGCCACCAGCCGCTCCACGCAGCGCACGCGCCGCACCAGCGAGCTGCTACTGATGCTGCCGTCGCTACGCAACGTACGCTTACACTCATACACTCACACATGCTGCCAGCGATCATTCCGCTCGCTGCCCGCCACCAGCCGCTCCACGCAGCGCACGCGCCGCACCAGCGAGCTGCTACTGATGCTGCCGTCGCTACGCAACGTACGCTTACACTCATACACTCACACATGCTGCCAGCGATCATTCCGCTCGCTGCCCGCCACCAGCCGCTCCACGCAACGTACGCTTACACTCATACACTCACCTCTCCTTGAGCAGCGTGTGCAGTAGGTCGCACGCCTTGTCGAGTTGGTCGGTGCCAGTGTGCGCGAACAGACAACGCTCCACCAGCTCCAGGTGCGTGCGTACGTCCAGCTCGAACTCTGCGGGGGACTGCAGCACCTGCGGGGGGATTATACTGACGGACGCTGGCAGAGGAACCAGGACTCACGAATAGTATGGGGGAAGTCCTCCACGCTGATGTCCCTATGTAACGTTCTTCCAGACGGAGGCTAGCAGTAGAAGCAGGACTCACGAGTAGTATGGGGGAGAGGTCCTCCACGCTGATGCTCTCGAGGTAGGCGATGAGTCCGGTGACGCAGGAGTCGTTACACTTGGACAGACTCTCGCACCGCTTCAGGTACGGCACCACGAACTGCTTCAAGTCCGACACGAACGTCTGCGGGGTGGACTGCGGGAACGAGTACGTATGTACTTTTAACTCACTTGCTACTTAAGTCACAACTTAAAAAGCAGACAGTACCAACTCCTTCTAATGCTCCTATATTACAAGGTAGAAGGGACAACCAACAGAGGCTCGGAAGGTCATTGTCATTTGTATGGAGCGTGGTGTCTTTTCATTTTTTCGCGGCAGTTGATCGGATGTGGATAAACTGATGCAGAATAACATTACAAACAAAAAAATATATGGGGTCTTATATCAAAAACACAGTCCAAATCGAGTTATATCAGTTCAAAGATGTGAAAATAGTGCTATATTATTCCTGTGATTTTGTTGATGGTGACCGTACACAACGCATATTTCTTCATTTACTTGTCAGAAATATTTTATAATAAATGTTTATAGACGATTTCAAGAAATATAATACCAGAATTGATGAGAGTCAGAATATGATCAATTACCCATCAGAATATAAATGCATAAAGCGGGGCATACTCCAAGGTAGTATATTAGGCCCGATTTTATTCTTACTTTACATAAACAATATTGTTGATGTGACTAACAATAAATGTTTTCTTTTTGCCGACGATATTTCCATAATTGTCACTAATGATAAAAACGTAACTCCGTTAAAGATCACGAAACACATATAAACAACACAATAGATAATATAATCAACTGGCTCGATAATAATGACCTATCCATCAATCTTAATAAATCAGTTTACGTACAATTCAATAAATCATATAACAGTAAATTTAATTTTAAAATGGATATACCTAAAATTTCGCAAGCAAACAACACCAAGTTTTTAGGAGTATTTATAGATGAACATCTAGACTGGAAAGAACACGTCAACCATGTCTGCAACAAAATAAATAAATTTGTCTACCCTCTCAAACAAATCAAAAATGTCACTTGCATGAAAACTGCGGTCATGTCCTACCGTGCGTATATTGAATCATCACTACGATATGGTTTAATTGCATGGGGAAATAGTACTGATCAAGAGAGAGCATTTATCGCACAAAAACGATGTATACGAGCCTTATATGGGATTCCACCTGATGTATCATGTCGGTCAATATTCAAAAAGCTTGGTTTGCTACCCCTACCCTCATTGTACTTATATGAGGTGTATATTCGTACGTAAACATAAAGAACTGTTCAAAACGGCAGAAGACGTATGTTCTAGAAGTCGACGCGACCATCACAGACTAGTACTAGAGGAGTTTCCTAAGTAAACAAAATATAATAAAAGCTTCCTAAGTATGTGTGTCCGAATATTTAATAAATTGCCGATAACATTAAAAACACTTAACCTCAGACTATTTAAAATTAAATTATATGTATGGTTAAATGAAAATATTTTTTATAGTATTAAGGAATTTTTTGAACATAAATAATAATGTATAATCTACGAGTGTAAGTTAAGTAGTTAAAATAAGTTTCAAGTTAAAATTTGCATGCTTTATTTATTAAGCAAAACATGATGATCTATTATATTGTAACAATAACATCTTGGTATACCATGTTTTTACGCAAATAAATGTCTTTATCTTTATTTTTAATAAAGCCTATTGTGGACTTTTATAATATTTTTTTTTGTTTGTTATTACTTTTTTTTCTTTTTTATTTGTTATAAGGCCACGGAATCAGAACAGAGTGAACCATTAACTGACCACTGCCGAAGAAAAAAAAAACATTTCGTTTGAGTGGCTAGCGTGTTCAATGTATATGTATACGGTTTATGGCCTATGACAGATTTTCATTATCAATTTCCTCTCAGTCAAAAACCCGCATAATACTTTACTGAGCCCTATCATGAAATGCTATGTTTGTCAGCTGCGGCGTCGGTAGCGGATTGAGTAGTAACAGTCGTCAAAACACGAAAAAATCATTTTTCTGTCTACTTCTCCCGACTTACTTCCGATTAGTACCTAATCTAACTACAGTTAATACTTTAATCTACATCTTGCATAAAATTTCTGTACAAAGACATCGTCATTCAGTCACAAAGTGATGCATTTCGAATGATCACATTATATGAAAAAATTATGCGCTCATCGACGTATCTTTACAAAGTCGACGGTTTGCTTTCTTCAAAAGATTATGCTAACTATAAAGTAGATGAGTCTCCCACCAGGAGTCAACGGCAAAAAAAATACTTTATTAGATGTTTGGACGGCTACAACTACTCAACCCACCAATGGTACCACAGCTGACACTCATGAAGCTTCATGACACAATTCCTAGAAGCATCCCACAAGTTATCGACTGAGAGAAAATAGCTAATAAAAATTTGCAACTGGCAATATGGATATATTGTGGTGTGATTTGGTGTTTCTGTGCCCGGCGTACAGTGGCGCGCAATTTGAAGTTAGGAATTGTGACAAAAATATGAATAATTTGAATAAAAAAACGAAAGTAAAATGTTTTATTCCAGCTCCTTTCAACGCTCATAACTCAGTCCAGGCTGAGATTTCCATATATGAGCCCATAGACAATTTCGTTTGTAATGACATTCTAGATAATATTTTCCATAAATTTTAATTTTAGTCAATGCCCTTTCGCCATTGTCATTTGTATTATAGTTCAAAGTTCAAGGACGTTGAAAAATTGTTTGATGATTTTTATTATATTAATTATAATTACTACTTAGAAATAAAAATAAATGATAGGTACATTCAAACCACTTAACTTATTTGGATGGAATTTGGTACCGATATAGTTTAAGATTCGGGAAAAGACACAGGATAATTTTATCCCGGAAACCCACAGGAATAAGAAATTTCGGGACTATCTATTTTTCTAAAAACCAAGAGAAACACTAATATTTAACTATTCAGCTTTACATATTTCTAGGTACCATGTATACATTGTTGTACATTGCTGGGGCAGTCGTCCATAAATATCATAATATATAGAAATAGGTTGAAAAGGGGAATCCCAATTCTGCTTGGTGTTATTAATGCGCGGACTAAGTCGCAGGCAAAAGCTAGTATTCACATAAAACAATAAGTTCCCTTATTTCAGTGTACAACTTGGAAAGTTTTTCAGGGACGTTTGTGTACGCTCTGTGTGAGCGAGGGCGTTATCAACAAAAGGGATCCAGGCACTGAGGCTTGACTTACTAGTCTTTGATTTGCCATCTTCACGCGTACTTTAGTCAAACAAGTTTCAAGTCATATAGGCAATCTACATATCTACCTAGGATTGACCTTGCTCAAATTATTCTTAAGGGCATGCAACCTATTCCCCATTTGTAAAGTTGGCACTGCCTCGCTCTGTCGTTCAGATGGTACCCCCAAACACAACTTACCATCTTCATGAGGACGGAGCACACTTCCAGCGTGGACATGTTCTGGAGCTGGTCGAGCGAGACGCCCTCGACGTTGACGTCGTAGACGAGCACGTCGAGCGTGGTGAGATGGAACAGCACGCGCTCGAGGCCCGGCAGGCCGGCGGCGGCGGCCGGCCGCAGCAGCGCCAGCGCGTGCGACACCAGCCCGCTGCGCCGCTCGATGGCGCGCGCGCGCCGCTCGTACCACGCCGCCACGTCGCCCGCGCTCGCCACCGCGGTCTCACTGTCGGGGCTCGAATCTTCCGACCAGTTCGAGCTCCAAATTGACCTGATATTCAATTGTTTCTTGTGATGATTTATACAGAACCACGACGTACCGGAACGATGACCGACTGGCACTACCTAATTACAGACTTCGATTGTTTATACGAGTATATATTCAGCCATTAGTCCGTTAATTTATTATTGTGAACCGATTCTCAAAAGTATTGTTTTGTTCGTAAGGTTACACTCTTGAGGTGGTCCCAGTGTGACTCAACCGAGATCTGATAATGGGAACTAAACTGAGAAGAACTAAAGAACTCTTGACAGTTGGAGGGGGTTAATCGTATCACTAAAGTTTTTAAAAATACTACTATTCATTGAAGTTCTGTAGTCAGTCTGATGATTTACAGCAATTACTTCCTGTTCGAACATGAACAATAGTTCAATTTACACCTATTGGTTCTTTACTCGCCATACCATTAGGCAAACTTCAATAAGGTTGATTTTAGGGTACACTTTGTGATAAAAGTATGTCGCAATCGAATGTGTAATTGGAACAGTGAATTATCTTTGATGTGTTTTGCTAACCATGTTTGCACTTAGAAAGTGACTGAGTCAGTAGGAATACCGGCCGCATCAGTAGTTTCATTGAAGTAAAAGTTCCTGAGTTCTCCTATCATCCTATAAAAATGCCGTTTAGTATGAAAAAAAAATTACGGTTTTTGTAAGTATATTACCGATTCATCGAAGAAACCCATGCAATCAATGCATCTTTGCCAACGCAGTGGCAGTTTATTGATTATTGCCTTCTTAAAGAAATCAGCTGGAAGGGAGGCAACGAATTCTTCAATGGCATTTCGACCTGCCTCTCGGGCATTGAATTTTATTCCCGCCAAGTAGTTATCCAAATTCTGGAAAAGGTCTATAGGCGCAAGGTCTGGTGAGTAGGGCAGATGACGGAGAGCTTCCAACTCCAGTTCTTGCTACTTGGAGACGTCTGCTGCGCAGTATGAGGACCAATGCTGGTGGAGATGTGCCAGCTTCTCCATCATTGTCTCCAGTTCTTCACAGTACACATCTGCAGTAATGCTCATCCCGTTTGGTAAGAAGCTGTGATGAATCACATCGCCGCTAGCACCAAACAGTGACCATCACTTTTCTAGGGGTATGTTTTCGTTTAGGGCATTGTTTAGGTGCTGGACCAGGATCCAACCAACTTGCCGAGCGCTTGCGATTATTAAACAAAATCCACGTTTCATCGCAGGTAACAATGCGGTTTAAAATTCTTTCATTCATGTGCCTGTTGAGCAATGCAAGGCACGTCTCGACGCATACTTCGCGCTGGCGATCATTGAGTTCGCGCACCCATTTGTCAAGCATTTTTACCTCGTCAATTTGATGCAAATGGACCAATATTGTTTCGACGCTAACATCGAAAGCTGCTGTAATTGCGCAGTAGATTGTGTATCATCAACATCGACAATCGCCTTTAATTCTTCATTGTCGACCAAAGTCTTCGGACGACCGCGAGGTTCATATATCAGGTCAAAATATCCAGAACGGACACGAGCAAACCAATAACAGATGGTGCGTCGGTATGTAGTGTTAGTTCCGTAAACGTTGTTGAAGTTGCGTGCCGCTACTCATACTCCACAATTCCTCGAATGTTTAATGTATCCATGATGACGAAAAATATTAAAATGCGACGAAAATGTAACACAATAAACAAATGACTACTGTTGGAAAAAAGCAAGTTCTTAAAATAAAATTAATTTGAAAGTAGAATTCTTAGCCGAACAAAAATTATTTTGATTTGAAATGGCTAGTACTACCGGACGGCAATTTTAGAGGTAAAGACTAAAATCAAATTTTATTAAAATAGTTTGAATTTATCTGAAAAATAATCTGAGTTCTGCGCACGCCTGCTTTTACGAGTCTCTTTCGTATAATACACAAGTGAATGACGTAAAGCAGAGCGTGGTCGGCCTTAGATGTCAAAGCACCGGGTGTATGTTACGGTTCTGCTCACCGAAATATCTCGTTCCGGCACCAGTCGTGGGCGGGCTGCGCGGGCGGCGCGGGCGGCTCGGGCGGCGCGCAGGCGGCGGGCGCGCGCGGCAGCAGGCGGCGGTACAGCGCGGGCGGCGTGGGCTCGGGCAGCGCGTCCAGCGCGCGCAGCTGGGACGACACGCCGCGCACGTGCGGCCACAGGCACGCCAGCGCCGCCACGCGCCCGCTGCGCGCCAGCCGCAGCGCGCTCTGCGCGATACTGTTACTGCGCAGGCGGTCGTACTCGTCCTTCTCGTACGTCGATTTCTCGCACTTCAATATGGACTGAAACGTTCGCATCGCTTTATTTTTCATTTTTAACATCACGTCATAGTCAGTCTACGAGTGCCCGCCGCCGAGCGATAGCCCTTTCTTTCGCTGAAAAATTATGAGCATTAATCACGACGCTTGGTTACGGCATATTAGCTACATCAAAGGGAGGATGTAGTGCTGTGGCCAGGTCTGAAACCAGATTGTAGAGGACTGATCAGTGAATTCCGATATATGAAATTTGAGAGTTGTTTATGAACACAGGCTTCGAACACTTTGGACAGGAATTCAACAGGTATGGATATTGGATGGAATTGAGAGGGAAAGGTGGGAGCAGATACTTTCGGGAGCGGACGGACACAGGCTCTACGCCAGAGGAAAGGGAAGGTACCGGAATAAAGGGAAAAGTTGATGACATGGGTTATCGCTGGTAGGAGGTGATCTAGAATGGTAACAATCATGTATCGAGAGATGTCACAATCGACCGCTTTGGATTTGATTAAGAGGATGATACTTCCAACCTCAGTCGAGTCAACTGGAGCGAAGCGGAAAGGATTAGTGATAGATACAAGTCTGTTTGCTTCTCTTCTGATGACCCGTCAGCTTATGCGGAAAACATAACGGAGGTGCCGCGCCAGGGCATGGAATACTACATTCCATTCTCGGACGTGGCATTCTTCGGTGGGACTCGTCCATGGTTCGATGCCGACTGCGGACGTGCTGAGGTGAAAATGCAGGCGGCATACTTGGCATGAACAAGGCCCCGACGGAATCCCAGACGTAGTTTTGAAAACCTGTGCGCCTGAGTTGTCTCCAATCTTGACACGCCTGTTTCACCTTTCCTTAGAGACTGGTCGAGTGCCGGTTGCATGGAAGCTGGCCAACGTGCAGACTGTGCCCAAAAAAGGTAGTTGTGCCGACCCTAACAATTACCGCCCTATATCGGTCACGTCCGGAAGTAGTGAATGACAGGCTCCTGGCATACCTTGAAGGTAACGATCTCCTTAGTGATCAGCAATACGGATTTCACCAAAATCAATTTACTACGGACCTTCTTGTGTATGCCACCCACATCTGGGAACCAGAGCAACTAAAATCCAGTCTCTGAGAGAATCTATGGTAAAAAGTCTGAACCTAACCTTGCAGGCGGTTTCGGACGGGGGTAACGCCAACTTGGTCAAGTTCAATGCCAACAAAACCCAAGCGTGTCTATTCTCCGCAAAACGGAACCGGTTCCCACTGACTCCTACTTTCCGAGGTGTGTCCGTTCCGTCTCAAGCTTCTCGGCGTAACTCTGACATGCCCACTGTCAACTTTGGCTCGTATATTGGGTCAAAGGCGCAACTGGCTGGTAGAAAGTTGGGTGTCCTGTCGAGGGTGAGATGGTACTTCGCGCCGGAGCAGTTGCTCACTCTTTACCAAGCACAAGTTCGGTCGTGTGTGAAGTACTGCTCTCATCTTTGGGATGGCACGGCAAAGGAGCTGGAAGCCCTCGAATCTATCGAGAGGCGTGCCAAGAGGCTCATCAATGACGATTCGCTTGTGGAGGCTCGACTTCAAAGACTCGAACACAGGCGCAAAGTCGCAAGCCTTTCGGTCTTCTATCCCCCTAGTCCATTTCACAACCGTATCACCAGACGAACGGCAGGGCGCCACCCTTATATGGTGGACATTCCACCCATTCCCACGAAGCGTTTTACGCGAAGCTTCCTTATGCGAACCGCTAAGGCATGGAATTCCTTGCCGGAGTCTGTGTTTCCCGTCAAATATGACTTGGGTGTCTTCAAGTCCCGAGTGAACAGGTTGCTCATAGGTAGGCGTGCTCCATCGTCGGCCACATCATCGCTTACCACCAGAGAAGATGGTAGTCAAACGTCGACCTATTAGGTATAAAAAGAGTGTTACGTTTGACCAGAGGGTCCATCTAGACAAACTGTACAGGGAAGGTCTGAATATTGCGTCTTACCGATAACTAGAGTTCCGAGGAATTTCTAGATATCGGCAGGAGAAGAAGATGAAATGTTTTTGAGAATATGGCGGCGTTAAGCGTTATTTACCATCTGGTTACATCTGTTTCTTGCAATCTTGAAGGCTGCCTCCTGTTGAAGTTTTCCTCAGTGCGATCTCTCCTGTGTTTACGAAACGCCCGATCTCTGCGCCGCCTGGCCAACCTAATCCCTTGGGTCATCCAAGGTGCAGGGAGCCGCTGCACCTTTATTTTCCTGATTAGAGCGTGACGATCGTAGAGATTCAAACGTTATTGAGTTAAAGATTGCAATTTTATCATCAACCGCAATGGCGTCCATCAAAGGATCCTCCTGCAATCTTGCTCCGTTCACCCGCACAAAACAACGCCTATACAAGACCCTGGGCCTCACCTTGGGCGGTATAAGGATGTAGGACAGGAAAATTATGTCATGATGTGAGAAACCCGGAGCATCATGTAGATCGCCAACAGTATTGTGGTGACTCGTTAAGGGGTAACCCGTGTTTGTCGACTCAATTATGGGAAGGAGTTTACGGGAACGTGGGGATTCGTGGGATAGGAGATTGGTGTTTAAATCACCCATGATTATGTGATGCATGTATTCAGAACCCAAAGATTCTAAGACTGATTCGAATTCAGTGAAATAGTCAACAGTAGGGAGACAGTTAACAACACCTAATAGATACTCCGCAGGACAGTTGGGAAAAGAAGTAATAAGCACCCTATAAGCACATTCACTGCGGAGATATGCAGCTACACCGCCTCCCCTCCTGACAGGTCGGTCGGTCAGGTTCCGTATAAGAACGTAACCTGGCAGGGGGTAGGTGGTAGAGGGGAGTTGAGGTTTGAGCCTTTGATTATAATTAATGTTTAGATAGACCGCCACCAAGCAATAGCAACAAAAATGACGTTCCAAAATCTCTTGCATGTGTGCGTGCGGTTTGTGATTTACATGGAGCAAAATTATATCTCCCATAAATATTTGGTTACATATACCAGATCATTTAGAAGTAAAATAAAAAAATGTAACCATCCCTTTGAATTTAACTTTTTTTTTTATTGGACACTTTCTTGATATTTATATGTTGTCATATAAGTAATATATTTTAATTTTAGGTAAAATATTTTATAGAAAGAATGTATTTTCCGTATGAATAGTATAATTAAATATTCATATTAAGACATTTTTACATTATTTGTATAAAACCTATTTATTAAATATTATTGCAGTTGCACCCTTTCCATCAAAAAATATTACTTCGATCGATTCGAACTTAAGAAGGATCGAAACCAACCTTCTTTTTTAAGTCGGTTAGAAAAAATAGTACATTAAAGCGTAGGTATGTGTTAGTTCAATAAGTAACAAAAAAATATATATTTTATTTTTAATTAACAAGCTAGTCAGATTTTTTTACGATTGCCTCGTTGGCCGAGTGGTCGCAAGTGCGACTGCCGAGCAAGGGATTTCGGGTTCGATTCCTGGGTCGGGCAAAGTATTACTGGGTTTTAAAAAAATCTCAGTAGTAGCACGGAGTCTGGCATTGTGCCCGGTATTTGGCAATAGCCTCACCCCCTATTACATGGGACTCATAACATAAATGGTGAAATGTGGGTGTTACATTGTAGTGGCATGATGTGCACCTCTGCCTACCCCTTCGGGGGTAAAAAGGCGTGATGTTTTGATGATGATGATTTTTTTTGTCAATTTTTCACTGGTTATGAGACCGTGAGAAGGGAAAATTGAAAAATAAATTGGCAACTCTGATAAAATATGGCGGCAATTAATTACGTCAAAAACATAAATTGAATAATGTAGTTTTTAATTATTTAGCGATGGATAAGTGATCTGTTTAGTACGTTTTAATCGTCATTTATAATTTTAGCACAATTTTATGGAGCAAGTGGCCATCTTTGTAGTGTACTTTTTTTATTTACAGATTTATTTTGTAGCGTGTATACACGCAGTGACGCCTAGGTGACACGATTGGTACTACTTGACGAGAAAATGCATTGCAGTAAACAGTTCACTGCAAAATTTTGGACCGCTTTTCGTGAACTGACACTCCATCTAGACATTATATCAAAGGTTTGAGCCAAGTTTTCGATGTCAGGACAGCATGGACGTTGCTGTTGCTAAACACATCAATAAGTGCGGTGGGGTGACTGGGAATGCATTGTGCATTTAAATGGCAAACATTTAACAACCGATTGGGTTTTACATACAAATTGGTTACCCACAAAGTCAGTCAGGATAGCTGTTTCGAAGCTAGCGCGTAGTTGAGCGTGGTTACCTCGTAGAGCTGGAGCCTCTCCTGGTAGAAGAGCATGACGTGGCGGCAGCGCAGCAGCTCGGCGGTGTACGCGTTGAGGTGGCGCGGCAGCACGTCGGCCGCGCCCAGCGCCGCCGCGCGCCCCGCGCGCCCCGCGTTGATCTCTGCGCAACACGACCATGTAGCGCCGGCGGCGCCCCGGCGGCGCGCCGGCGCGGGCCTTACCTGCCAGGATGGTGTCGTTGGTGAGCTGCAGCCCGAACTGCAGCAGCTCCTTGGCGGCGGGCAGGCTCTCCGGCAGCCGGTCCACGCACTGGTGCACCGCCCAGATCTTCTTCGATACTTTGCTCTATAACATTTATTCTATCACTTAAGATTGCTTCATACATACACAGGTATTCCTATAAGTATGGATCGACCGGAACAGGGGCATAGTAGCTCAGTCATTTACTTCAGCAGTTTTAAGGTTAGCAGTTGACTGCACGGTTGGCGCGATGGCTGGGTAACCGGCTGCCACGCAACGTGTCGCGGGTTCTATTCCCGCACGGAACAACTCTTTGTGTGATCCACAAATTGTTGTTTCGGGCCTGGGAAGACACCCACACACTCAGACACCCAGAAGGGTGGGGCAAAGTTTTTTTTTAAAAAGAATTGATAGTTGTACCTGCAACGTTTTTCTCGGGAGTTTAGAAAAGCGGCAATTTTGCAGATTTTGTTGTGGTCTTTTCGATTTCCAAAATTGAAAAAGAAATTTTCATAATGGAAGAAATGATGGGTGACTTCTCGATCGGTACACAAGGGGCCATTAAAATGAAAGTGAATGTAAGTTTTTTTTCAAAATGCAATAGAAGTGTATCTGCTTTGCGGCGCTCGTATGCCAAAGGTTTGTGATTTTATAAAAATGTTGTAAATACATAAATTATAGAAAATTGTCAGTAGTTTAATTTTGTAGTTGACGGTTTTCTCGTAAAATACACAGGAAAATAGATATTGTAAAAAAAAAATATTTTAGCCGCCATTTTTCCAAGATGACGGCGCGAGCGGCGCATATACAAAGGTGCAAAATGGAAATTGAAAAGAGTTGATGAAAATCTACAAAATTGCCGATTTTCAAAACTCCCGGAATTCTTTCCAGGTAAGCCCCCTTATCTCCATAATTATCGGACTACAGAGCAACTCATCCTTTAACTTTTTGCTCTGGGAATAGGGGTCCGATTCCGGTTAAAAACTTATAAATAGTTTTCGTTTTGTTCAGGCATTTCCCAATAAGCTCAAAGAACCATAACAAACAAAGGAAAAATAACAAACAATAACTATCGGAGGTACATGTAAGTTTTATTTGTAGAATACAAGAGTGGACCTTTCTTATCACCATACTTTTATCACAACTTTTATTCAGAAAAATAACATGAATTTAATTCAAAAAAACCGCTTCAAATACAAAGGTTCGCGAATTTTCAAGTGATTTCATGGAAAAAGTTACACTAGAAAAAGTTGTCCATGAATCAGAAAAAAATCCACTATTCATTAGTCCACGTGCCACGTAAAATGATCCAGATCATCAAAAAGCGCGGGATAGAATATCTCGGTCACGTACTGAGACATGCCAAATACATGCTGCTTCATGTTATAATGGTGGGTACGGTGGAAGGGAAGAGAAGCGCTGGGCGATGGACAAAGTCGTGGCTGTTGAACAACTTTTCCGCCTGGCCAATAATAAGGACCAATTTAAAAAATTGACAGCCAGCCTTCAGGAATGAAGCGGCACCATAAGAAGAAGATTCATTATTCATACAGATTATTTGGAGGTATGAACTACGAGGATATTCTTAATAGTTAATGAGTTATAGAATTTTATTAAAGAGGACGTCGTAAGTTTCAAAATGTTGTTTTTTCCAGCTGTTACCAATTGAATATCAGTTTCCAGACATTGGTCATCATTCATTCACGCACTACTGTGACGTAGTTAAAATGGAAATAAAAGAAAATAGCCTTTTACAATCTCGTAGGTTACGATTCGATATAGAAAGAAAGAAGAAAGAAAGAAGAAGAAAGAAAGAGGAGTGGAGTGGAGTGGAGTGGGCGGGTGGGCGCTGCTGCATACTACTAATTCATTCCTTCAGTGGAATAAAAGATAAATCATTTCCCAGTTATAAGTGTAGCATGGATTTTCGCAAAGTAACGCCTGATTCTATTCTTATTAATACTGATTTCAAATTAAAATCTAGTTTTAACATAATTTTTATGCAGTTCCTGTCAAAAACTGAAATCGACACAGACATTTTAAATTGTAATCGCATATTACTTTCAGTCATATATTAATCAAATATGTTTGGGAGATATCACAGGTGTAAGTCAGCGATCACACTCCCACAGACGGCGCGTCTCCCCTGGAAGTTATCATTCATTTTCCTACGCCACAAATAAAATGAAAACGTATTTCGACTCGAAGTTATGACAAGTATAGGACGTGTACATAGTATACGCACCAGGTAGTTGTGTATGGCGTCGCTGGAGACTGGGTTCTTGCGCCACTGTTGCTGGTACACGAGGTCACTGTCCAGCTGGAACCTGTCCGCCAGCGCCAGCGCCTCGCCGTACGCGCCGCTCTCTATCTGCGACACGACACGCGCAGTGAGCGCCTTGCTAGCCAGCACGCGGGGGATGGGCCGGGCCTACCTTCCGCGAGACCAGCTCGGGGATGGGCCGGGCCTACCTTCCGCGAGACCAGCTCGGGGACGGGCCGGGCCTACCTTCCGCGAGACCAGCTCGGGGACGGGCCGGGCCTACCTTCCGCGAAAACAGCTCGGGGACGGGCCGGGCCTACCTTCCGCGAGAACAGCTCGGGGACGGACCGGGCCTACCTTCCGCGAGAACAGCTCGGGGACGGACCGGGCCTACCTTCCGCGAGAACAGCTCGGGGACGGACCGGGCCTACCTTCCGCGAGAACAGCTCGGGGACGGACCGGGCCTACCTTCCGCGAGAACAGCTCGGGGACGGACCGGGCCTACCTTCCGCGAGAACAGCTCGGGGACGGACCGGGCCTACCTTCCGCGAGAACAGCTCGGGGACGGACCGGGCCTACCTTCCGCGAGAACAGCTCGGGGACGGACCGGGCCTACCTTCCGCGAGAACAGCTCGGGGACGGACCGGGCCTACCTTCCGCGAGAACAGCTCCGTGGGCGTCGTGCTCTTGAGTCCGAGCAGTCGGTACACGCGCGACACCACCGTGATGCGCCGCGGCTTCGGTTGGAACGTCTCGATGTCCGTGATGGCGTACAGCACGGACTTGATCAGCTCCTTCGCTAGCTCCAACATCGTGTCTTCAGAATCGGTTTCTATCTTCACTACTTCCATCTACAACAAAGCGACAGTTGAAGGTGTATGTGCCGCCGGCCGGGCCCGGCGCCGCTGGTACTCACCGCGGGGTCGCTGCGCGCCGTCCGGGCGGGCAGCGCCCCGCCGCCGGTACTCACCGCGGGGTCGCTGCGCGCCGTCCGGGCGGGCAGCGCCCCGCCGCCGGTACTCACCGCGGGGTCGCTGCGCGCCGTCCGGGCGGGCAGCGCCCCGCCGCCGGTACTCACCGCGGGGTCGCTGCGCGCCGTCCGGGCGGGCAGCGCCCCGCCGCCGGTACTCACCGCGGGGTCGCTGCGCGCCGTCCGGGCGGGCAGCGCCCCGCCGCCGGTACTCACCGCGGGGTCGCTGCGCGCCGTCCGGGCGGGCAGCGCCCCGCCGCCGGTACTCACCGCGGGGTCGCTGCGCGCCGTCCGGGCGGGCAGCGCCCCGCCGCCGGTACTCACCGCGGGGTCGCTGCGCGCCGTCCGGGCGGGCAGCGCCCCGCCGCCGGTACTCACCGCGGGGTCGCTGCGCGCCGTCCGCGCGGGCAGCACGTGGCCCTCGCACTCCAGCACCATCGCCGTGCCGCCGTGCGCGCGCGTGATCTGTTCACATCATACACTTGCAAATATTCATGTCGTCTTTAATGTCAAGGAAATAAAATTACTTTCAATGTAAGATTTATTAATGAATATGGATAGTACCTGTGGGGCTCCCTGGAAAAATTCAGGCTTCTTCCCCAGAATATTAGCCATAGTCTCTATATCGCAAATGGTGACTGCCCCGCTAAATCGCGATACTATTATTTCCTGCAAAAACCAGACAACAACCAACTGAATTGAACAAACTATACAGAGTGACTTGTTACTAGCGCACAATCTCGTCTGTAGAATGCTTCAGAGAGTTGTATGACGAATCATTGTAAGCGTGGCCGGGTTGCACTGGGCGCTGGTCCCGGGCCCGGCTACATTAGTTGCTCCCTACATTAGTTGTTCCCATTGCTTGGAGAGAAACAAAGCCATGTTGTGTGTGAGCATGCAGCTCACAGCAAGGAAATAGTGATTTCCTCTCGATCGCAAGTTCGACAGATATTAGATTGTGTATTAAGTTTACTTTTAATAATTAAAAACGTCTTTGGCTCTAAGTGTAGACATCGCTGCTCTAACCCTGAACGAGTAACGTAGCAGTGGAAGGATGATCCACAGCCTGTTTGAATGTATCAGCTGATGGCGTTTACTCCAGCACACTGCCGGTACATTGGTTTTACCACTTGCAAGATCATGTAACTGCTACAATTTGTTTATTTTTCAAGTTAATACAACAAGTGTGTCCAGGTGGGCATTGTCTCCTAGTCAACCTTTAAGCAGCGCGGAGTTGAAAGGAGCAGGTGATTTTAAACCTTTATAATGTATGGTATATTTCAAGCACAACTATGTATGTAGGTATCGCAAAAATATGTTCCAGAGTTTATGTTGAACAGTTACCTCATTACTCCACCAGTTGATGTCAGCCGGATAGAATGCAGTGAGGTCCTTTTTGTTCCCAGGCTTCTCGTCTCCAGCGAGAGGGTTCCTGAGGTCGTGGTGGGGCTGAGTGGCGAGCGCCCAGCGGCACTCCAGCTTCAGTAGAGGCAGGCGCCATACTGACACGTCGCCATTGCAGTGCAGGCACACGAGCCTCGTGCCGTCCGGAGACAGCTCCATTCGGACTATGAAAGCCTGACAAAACATGGAAGAATTATACACATTGGGAGAGACGGCGTTCGTTGGTTATTTCTCAAGCAAAATGGCTGATGACACAGAATCACAACAGCAAACAAGCAGGCGTAGTATACCAGATTATTGGAATATCCAAAGGGCACGTAGAGCTTGAACCGGTCGTTGGCGAGCGCGTCCGCGTGGTCGGAGACGACGGAGAGCTTGTAGTAGGGCTCGTCGTTTAGGATGCGCCACGCGCTCAGCCCCGCGCCCAGCGCGCACCGCGCCTCCTGTACACGCTACGTGCCAATACTTCGCTACTTACTGCTCCGAACAAACATGGACATTTTGTGGAACATTCAATTAATTGATAATTGTGTGATTACTGATTATTTTTTTCATATTATCTTAAAGTATTCAAAAGTCTATATAATTTTTGTTTCAGTGAAAAGACTGTCCAAGTGCCCAATTACTTAGAAATACTAACTAAACCAGTATTGGGTGTTAACCTTGAAGTTAAATATCCTCACAGTGCCTCTTAATTAATTTACGAAAATATTATATACCTACGTAAGATACAATCTACAATTATTTAAACATTTAAAAAACCCCCGCCGTTTACCTTCACAATACTTACTTACCTGAATCAAAAGTTAGGAAGCTATTACAATTATACTTGTATAACAATACGATTGAGGACTTCTTAATGTATTCTGTGACTGGGCTACACCAGGTATTCGTAAAAGTAGGGGAAAGTTGTTTGAGCTTTATGGTATGAAACCATTTAATAATAGTGAGACTTTTCACAGCTATGTCTCCAGATACTCAAAAATATTCAAATTAGTTTGTAAACATGCAAAAGCCCTTCATATTAGCAGCAAAATTAGGACCGCGGAAAACAAAATAAAGACTACTTGGAATATAATTAATAACGAGACAGGTAGAAATAAATCACGTAACGCTGAATTTAATTTAAATACCGAAAATGGACGCATCAGTACAAATTCGAAAGTTGCCCAGGAATTTGAAAATTTCTTTAAAAACATACCGCTTAAAACTACAGAAGCGTTGAAATCATCTCCAACTCTTTCAGTGGAGCTTCTTAAAAGTAATGTTAAAGAATGCCCTTCTGTTTTTCGGTTTCAATACACAAACCCCCAAGCAGTCATTAAAGCGTTTAAAGATATCAAAGTTAAGTCGACTGAAGATCTCTAGGGAATGTCGGTTAGGGTGTGTAGGGCTTTTATAGAGACTATAGCGCCTCATTTAGCTTTCATTTTTAATAAAAGCATAGATCAAGGGGTTTTTCCGGATTTGATGAAGCACAGTAAAGTAGTTCCATTGTTTAAATCCGGTGATAGCGCGGAACCCAATAACTATAGGCCGGTTTCTATTTTGCCAGTGCTTAGTAAAGTGTTTGAGAGACTGATGCTTGTTCAGATGCTGCGCCACTTCAACACGAATTCTATCTTTCATGATCAACAATACGGGTTCACCAAGGGACGCTGCACTACTGACGCAGGAGTAGCTTTAATAAAACGTGTTGTTGCCTCATGGGAAGAAGCACAGGATGCAATTGGAATATTCTGTGATCTTTCGAAGGCATTTGACTGTGTTGACCACGAAACGCTTTTGCTGAAGCTGGAACACTACGGCATTAGAGGGGTATCGCTAAATCTATTAAACTCATACCTTCGGGATAGGCAACTTAAGGTGCAAGTAAATAAGGTAAACTCACAGGGTGCTAGCATATCTATGGGTGTACCGCAGGGCTCAATACTAGGTCCTTTCCTATTTTTGGCTTATATAAATGACTTGCCGCATTTATTCCGGAACTAGCTTTTACCCGCGGCTTCGCTCGCGTCACAAATGGATAAAAAGCCACTATGACATATACCAATACACACAGCGCCATCTATACCAATACTTTTGTTTTCCCTCGGGAATATCAAATTTTTCAGGGATAAAAAGTACCATATTATTTAATCCGGACTTCTAACTTTACGTCTGCAAAATTTCAAAGCAATCGGTTTAGTAGTTACGGCGTGAAAGCAGAACAAACAAACAAACAAACAAACTCACTTTCCGATTTATAATATAAGTAAGGATGAACCACAGATGGTATTATTTGATGATGACACATCACTGGTTTTTAAAATAAATAGACGTACAAATAATTATGACGATGTAAATAGTGCTCTGATGAAGGTTCAAAACTGGTTTACAATAAATAATTTAGTGCTGAATGATAAAAAGACAAAATGCATTAGATTTGTTTTGCCAAACGTTAAAAATAACGAATGTGACATATTACTGAATAGTGAGAAATTGGAATTTGTAAAAGAAACTATTTTCCTGGGAATTACTGTAGACGACAAATTACAATGGGGTCCTCATATTACATCTCTAGCGGGACGATTAAGCTCTGCAGCTTATGCTGTCTGGAAAATCCGTCAGTTAACCGATATAGACACGGCAAGGCTGGTGTACTTCAGTTACTTCCATAGCATCATGTCGTATGGCATTCTGCTGTGGGGACACGCTGCTGACATTGAGTCTATCTTTGTCTTACAGAAGCGCGCCGTCAGAGCTATATACAACCTAGGTCGTCGCGAATCTCTCAGAGAAAGGTTTAGGGAGATCAATATTATGACCGTTCCATGTCAATTTATTTATGAAAATATTATGTATGTTAGGAAAAACCTACATTTATTTAGTAAAGTGTCTGACAGACACAATTATGAAACTAGACATAAGAATAGATTAAGTCCGCCATTTTTTAGATTGTCAAAAGTACATAAGTCGTTCATGGGATTCGGTGTTAAATGTTATAACAAAATCCCCCAAGAAATACTGCATCTAAATGAAAGAAAATTTAAACTATGTATTAAAAAAACGTTATGTAGACAAGCATACTACAAACTAAATGTTTATATAGAGGATAAAAGTGCTTGGAGGCAGGCTGGTCCGGCTCCGCAGGATAATACATGAAACACAGTGATGTTCAATGAATTTTATTTGTGTAATAATATAATCATGTTGCTTAAATATTTGTATAGTTTAAAACGTTGCACAAGTTATTGTAAATGTGAGAGCCCTGTAATTAATTAAATCAAATTAGACTAGTAGATTGCATTTATGTCAGCATGGAGTTGTCATGCTCACTCAAAGATCTCGTTGGCGGTGGCACGTGCATTGGATCGCTCGATTCCCTACAAAATGGTTGAGTTGGGCGGTGCTAGGGTTCGCAAAATGTTCGTGAACGGGCACCGTCGATTGGAACTGGTCAGCTCCAGACTGTATCTTTTTATTTTATTATCCTCAAGGTTATTTTCTTTTTCAGTCTTTCTGACTGGATTAAGGTGTTGCATTGTTCTCACATAATCGAACCAATAAAACTATGTAACTAGAGAATTGTATTGTAAGCCTGATTGAAAAAGAGTAACCTATGGAGTTTCTTGCTCGTTCTTCTCCATAGGAATCTACGCCTTGGAATGAGCAACTAGCTTCACTTATAATTTTTTGTTCTTTGACGTTCAAAAGTGCCATCCTGGTCTAATTGAAATAAATGATTTTGACTTTGACTTTGACTTTGTGCTTCTAACGCTAAGCTAATAAATTCGAGGGGTCCCCCGACGCGACAAAATTTCATACGTACCGGCAACAGCAGGCAAAGATAACCATTTGCAGATCAAAATTAGCGGTTATGTCTCCGACATAAAGGTGGCACAAAGTCCCGAGTAGATAGTCTGACATGCTTTAGTTGGTACTTACGCAGTGCTAAAAGTATTTTTTTGCATTTTATAGGGTTTAGCATTTTTTTACTTTTGTTGTAATAATTGCGGGCTTCTCTGGGGCGGGGGTTTTTCAAAATTTTAATTTATTTTTTATTTCATATTTTTAAAGGAGCTCCATAAAGGTGATTTTAATTTCGCGTTTTATTTTAAAATTATCTGTTATATCAAGTGTATAAATTGGGACTGGTCAGAAATACAAAAAAAATCTCAAAAACGAAGCCAAAAGGCGCAAATTTACTTAACCTGAAAATAATATTTGCGAAAAAAAATAGCGTTTTGTTGTCGCAAGCTAGTCAAAAAGATGAACTGCACTGTCATAAAATTCATTAGATAGACAGCGTCGTTTGGATGGTTATGGACTATTTTTTTGTGTTTTTCTATAACGATTTGTTTGCAGGGACAGGAAATTTAAATCAATTCACAACTTCACTTTTACCTATAAAAGTATAGACATTAAAAGATATTAGTAGAAGTCGAATCACCTTGGCAGGTCCCCGAGGCACCCCGGCGACGTACATGGTGGAGTGAGACTCGCAGTAGCGCAGCGCGGCGACGCCGGCCGGGAACCGGAACGAGTGGTGCAGCTTGCACGCGTCCGTCTGCGACACCAGGAACCCGCGCAGCCGACCGTCGTACGTCACCACCAACACCTCCCAGTTCCTGCCCACTCGCACCGTCAACACACCCGCCGCGGTCGCCCAGTACAACGATTTCAACGACAGCCAGTAAGCACGTTTAAGATACGCAAAAACGCGATGGGCGTCCACGTAACGCTAAGTTATTAGCATTATCGCAACCATCAGATTGGTGTTGATAGACAAGCCTTGCTTTTTAATTCAAATATCAAATTAGTTTGACGCTAGAATTAACATTTTCGACTATATTATTAAACAATAAAGTTAAAAATCTTATTTTAACAAATTGAAACACTGGCATTGGGCTTTATAAAAAATTAGGTTCAAAACAACTTGCCATAACAATTGAAGTCATCAGCTTATAGTCTTGCAACTGATCACCTATTGAAATAGAAAAGAAACACCTATATAATAACTTACCATTTTGTATCTTTCACTCTCAGGGGCATAAATATAATGTCAGCCACAGCATGTGTATTATCTGTGCATTCTAAGCCACCTGGTCTTGAGCAATCCTAGAAGAAGTGTGCCACAATTACAAGTTTCTTCCCTGAACCTCAGGCAGTATTATTGACAAATTAATTTTTATATCAATTTTAAAATTGTTGTTGTGTATAAAATACAATTGTTTTAAATACATTCCATTTCACTCACAGTAGGAATGTTAAAAAGGTTGGATGCAGTCAGATCAAAGAAGCTGACTACACCATTTCCATAAGCCAGAACCACTAGAGAGCAGTCGGGACTCCACACTAACTTTCGCCATTGCGGGTAAGCATCTCGGCTCACTGAAATTATTCATAAATTTACTATAAACACTCAAAGCCTAAGCTTTAAATTACTAATAAAATTGTCAAAAGATTTTTGTCGCATTGAACTGTAAATAGTCATTTATTTACCTGTTGTCCTAGCTGCAATTGTTGCATACTCAGATCGCTTGGTTCTGATCTCCAAAATATTGTCCGTCAAAACTGCAATTACTTTGCCCTCATCTCCCAATGCAATATGCCACTTTTGTTGTTTTTCTAAATGTCTAAATAAAGTATGAACAAAATCTTTTAGTTTATCATAAACATTACAAATAATACTTTAATAATGTTTTATGTTATCCAATAAAGTACTCACGCCGTTACAGCATCAAGAAGATTTTTTTTCGGTCCCAGGAAGTTCACCCATCGCCAAAGAGCTGATATATTCTCAGGTAATATACTATCAGGCTTTTGCTAAAAGGAATAAATAAATAAATTACATGTCCTCTCACCTCGTCATTGTGTGGACATGTATATATTCTTAGTTCGTTACAAATGGACCAAATAAAAGCGTGTTAAAAAATTGCTGGTTTTAAAATTTGAGCGTCCTCAATATTCACATGAAACGAAATGATAAATATCATTTGTGAAATATAAAAACAATAAAAATATGTTCATACTTACTATGTATTCAGGCTCTGGTTTCCATTCAGAAAACACGTACAGTTCGTGAAGGATAGATTTCTTTTCATCCATTATAGAACTTGTTGTTCTTGTTTACCTTTATCTCTTAATACATTACACTTTTTCACTCTCTAAAATCTCTAAAAGAGATTGCAAATAAATTTGCAAAGTAAATTGATTGATCGGTTCAAAAACAGTAAAACAGAAAACGTCACTTGATATTGACCGTATGTTTTTGACATTGACAGTTGACGATAGTTGGACAACTTAGCATGATGACATGTTGATGATGATGATGATGATATGGATTCTTTGGATAAATGGATATTAAGTTAATGAACATGTAATGAACCCACGTTAGTAATTTGTTTTTTCTTGTATTAAGTTATGGTATATTGTGTATTTCATTTTAGAATTTAGCAAGCTAGCAATTTTTGAAATGAGTCTATCACAGACTTACAACAGGTAAATATGTCTGTGAAGTCTATTTTGTAACTTAATAAGTTCACACACAATCTTTAATTTTTATTAGATTTTTATTGGTAAAACTAATAGTTAAAATAGTTAATACAAGGACGAAGAGAATACAATTATACGAGAACCGGTTATTTATGTACAGCCTAGCAAGCAGCCTAATATTGGCCTAGTCCTAAAAATTAAGATTTAATTATTTTTCTTCTGTGGCTAAGTGTTTAAATTATGTATTGCTTATGAACGTATTGATGGATGTCGGGATGTTTCAAACCGGCTTGATACTTTGGCAATGCGTAGAGATATAGCTTCGTTATGCATTTTCTATCACTTATACCACAGGGAATGAGGAATTGTTTGACCTGATACCTGCCGCATGTTTTCGCCATCGACCCTCACGACAGCATAATTATGCATCCCATCATATAGCTGATTGGCAGGTCACAACTGTGCGCATCTCACGTAGCTTTCTGAATCGCACAGCAAAACTGATCATTCATCTGTCATCGGTGGTATCTCCGAACCGATACGACATTCAAACCTTCAAGAAAAGAGCGTATTCCTTTTTAAAAGGCCGGGATCGAACCTGTGACTCCTCTGGTGTTGCGGGTGTCCATGGGCGGCTAACCTAAACCATCAGGTGATCCGTCTGCTTGTTTGCCTCCTATTCCATAAAAAAACGTATAAGGATACGTCTTTGATGGCGATGTCCATTGTCTACTGTGGATACTTTAAGATTGTCTATATCAAAATTGATCAATGTCAAATCAAAGTTCTAAGTTGTGACTGGTGCACTGTTACCAACCCTACTGTTTTAACAGTAGATTTGCTGTTTTTGCTTTGATGTCCATGTTTTCTGTTTCATTCTTATTTTCTACTGTTTTCTTTCTACCAAAACAAAATTCCCGATACTATCGATTTTTGAAACATGGACAAGAATTAAATAATGGAGGAGACTCTCAAACGTTCCTTGCGTTGTGTGAATTGCATAGTAAAAAAGCTTTTGTGCCTACCACAGTATGACCACATAGCAGCACCGTCGTAGAAAGGTTATTTTCTGCTATAAATGTTACGAAAACCAAATTACCTACGTATCAGAACATCGACTACAACTATTAAAGGACAAAATCCGAAATAACCGATTGCTATTCATTTGAAGCCACAGAAAGGCACACGAAGAAATTCAACAAAAATATGTATGATTTTAAAAACAAAACTGAGGGTGAAAATATTGAAGATGGGGCATTTGAAAATGAAACTGTAAAATAATTTTACTTTGATTTTTGTTTTTATTGCTGTGATTATAAATATATCAATGTATGTAAATGTGAGTTCTAGTCACTTAAACAATTAGGTATTCATTACTTAATTATTTTACCAAAAATATGAAATGAGCGGTTTTTTCTTTACCTACTGCTTTCTACTGTTTTGAGTTGTTGTTTTTTGTTTTTTGGGGTTGGCAACACTGGACGGGTGTCAAATGTGTCAATGTCATTACATTCTCTTTGATAAAAATTGGTAACGTTTTCAGTTTCTCATCAATTGCTATTTTAGTCGGTATTATTATATTTACCTCATTATTTTGGTCAAAAAAGAGAACCATATTAAACATTTAAAATTCAGTTATGGATATTTTAAATGAAATATATTTCAAGGTAGGGTTTTAGTAATTCAAGAAATTAAGACTTGGTTTAGTTTTGACAAAGATGGGATATTAAAATTAAATGAAATTCAATTTTTTTCAGAGTTCAGAAGAAAACGAAAAAAATTTTACATTTTGGCAGAATTATTTAGAAAGCTTGACGAATTTAGATTTCAGTGTATTTAGTGATAAGTTAAAAATTCCTACTTTAGTCCCCATTGGAAGCAGAATATTGTTCAGAGGTGAGCTAATACATACAAATGAAGTCACTGCTGCACTAGGCGCCGACTATTTCGTAAAATGTTCAATTAAACAAGCTGAGGTACTAAGACAACACAGAATCAAAGGTAACATGAATTTTATATTTTTCTATTTCTCTCTTTTTTTATAATCTCGTGACAGATAATGTGAGAGTTTGTGTATGTTCTCTGTATACATACGTACATAACTTCACGCCTGTCTCCCATGGGGGTAGGCACAGACTAAGGAACGCCAATTACTACGATTCTTACATACCTCTTTCGCTTCATTAACAGTCATCAATCTTTTCATACATGCTCGTTGGTTAAGGGTACTTTTAATTTGGCCCTTCTTTAATATATCGCCAATCTGGTCCCTTCTTTAATCTGGCCCTTACTTACTTTTAATCTGGCCCTTCTTTAATATCCGACGGCCCCATTCACATCCGCTCTGTATACTTCTTTAGTTACTCTACTTTCATCCATGGTTTCTACATGTCCAAACCAGCGTAACATTCCCTTTTGAATCCTTGTCACTACATCATCTTTCAATCCACACTTCTCTCTAATAACACAATTTTTCACTCGATCACTCAATTTTAGTCCACACATACTTACGCTCTCTGTATACACGCTCATAATAGCAATTTGTTAAGAAAGTCACAGTGTGGTACCTATACTAAGCAGGGATGCTAGGGAGCTCCGTAACCGAAACTATCGGATATCCGATATAAAAAAATATAAATATAAAGAAATAAATGTTTCGGATACTATCGGATAGCGGCGTGACGTATAAACGAAACAATTATATTAGCTATTTGTATTTTACTTTTGTAATTCCTTAAAATTTTAATATTCATAACCGAAATTATCCGAAACTAACGGATAATCCGAAACAATTTCATATCCGTACCCGTAACCGTATAATAATCATATTTATATCCGTATCTGAAATTTCATATCCATAACATCCCTGATACTAAGCCTTGGGAGAAACTCAGTCATGACCAGCGCTTAGTGTGAATTATCATTGACAAATGTTGAAGACAACCTCCTTCTATGATTGATATCTTAATAGTGCAATGTTTTTATTAATTAAGTATCAATGAATATCTTTCTACAGTTTAAACGGTCTTGAGGGCTTTCGTATTTTGTCAGGTTATGTCAGTATGTATACTGGAAGCGTGCTGGGCCCTATTAGTTATAGTTACTAAGATAAATAATATTTTTCAGATGCCCAAGAGAAACTGGATATGTATATCAAAGAAAAGGATTATTTTGAAAATCAATTGTCTCTTACAAGAAAGACTCTATATGATAAAGAGGGGGAGGAAATTATAGAATACTACTCTGAAGAAGATGATAAAGTATGGAGGGCAAAACACAGAGAAAATGTTAGAAAATATAAACAAAACAAAAATAGAGCGGAAGAGACAGAAAGTGTGAACATGACAGATGAAGAGTTATGGGAAAGGTTAGAAGAGTTAGAATTGCAAGAGGAATTGGAAAATGAATTGGCCATTACACCAATTCACACACAAAAAGTACCAAAAGATATTGAGGAAAGAAATCTGGCAAATCCAAATCAAGATTTTGAAGATAACAGCAAAGAAAAAAAGGAAAAAGAAAATAAAAAAATTATTCAAGAGAAACTTTGTAATAAAAGAAATGAAAAGCCAAATGAAATTACTTACAAAGAAACCCAAGTTCCAGAGCCACCATCAAAATTGGATATATTACAGCAAGTAATAAATAAACAGAGTGAATTGGAAGACAAATTGCATGAATTAAAAAATAGAAAAAGATCTCAAACTAAGAATGAAAAAGATCTACTGTCAAGGCTAGATGAACTTGAACAACTTGATGAGCTTGAGGATGACATGGATAGGTAAGGAAGTAATGCTTCTGACATTCCTGAACTTCCAATTTCCATAAATAATTTATCTTATCCAACAATACTTGGAACTGTTAAATATGTAATGTGTTCTTAATTACAGATTAGAAGATATTATTGATAATGAAGGTGTCGAACAAGCAGAAGAAGAATTAGATGATAATGAGCAAGAGGGCCAAATACCAAAAATACAACGGCGGGTATCATTTGTTGATGAAAATGATAGCAATACTTTAGAGATAACTTTCAAACACAGTGACACAGATCTTATTTATGAGCCTTATGATGCTAGTCAAGGCATACAGAAACCAAGTGATATCTATCAAGCACACTCTAACCTTTTTGGAACTGCAACCACATCTATTCTCAAGAAGTCAAAATATGAAACAGCAGATGATAAAGGACCTCCTATAATATTGCTAAAAGAAAATGCTATACCAGTTAAGTTCCAGGAAAGTGGAAGTCAAGAAGTTATTGTAGTTAAAGATATTGTGGAGAAAGTTGATCATAATACTAAATTATTAAGCCAGTCAAGGCCTACCAGTTTATTCAAGAAAAAACGAATGCAGAATAAGTCTTAATTGTATATTATTATAAAAACGTTATCAATAAAATATGCGAAAATAATCACACCTTCCATTTATGATATTTAAACTTTTGTATTCTTTTATGCACTCGGTACAACTATTATTATTTATTACTTGATTTAATAGACTTTGGAGTATACAACAAAATATATTTTGACCAATACTCTCAAACAAAAAATAATTTGTGTTAAAGGAAACTTTGGGAAAATATTGCATTTCAATAACAAATTCATTATACGCTTTTGTAATTGAAATGCAAAATTACACGTATACGTGACCAACCGTGACGTTTAGGACGAAGGGTTTTCGGGTAGAAAATAGCTAATGACCTCCCAATCTAAAAAAATTGTGTCGGTCCATACGCCAAATAGAGGAAGATCCCAGTGCCCCAGACATCAATCATTTTCTGATGGACAAAATATATGAGTGAGTAGTGGTGGGGTGTACTATGATCATATGACTAGTTGCTACCTTGGCCAGACGGCCAATTTTCAGGTAACAATTAATCAAGGTACATAAAAACACTGCTCACCTCACTTAAATTCTGATAGCTGATTTTAACATATATTTTACACTATATCGTTAAAAATCAGTATTCATTACTCCCAGACACATGCGGTCGGCGGTTTTACCTTACAGACACTTCAAAGCTCTGAAAAAAATTAATTTAGGTCACTTATTTTCTGATGCTTGATTTTTATATATGTTATTCAGACAACTATTCTAAAACGTTTTGCAAACGGACAGACCGATCCAAGGCGCTAAACATTCCCCAGACCCAATTTTAATGCCGCTGAGAGTAAGAGCGCGGGTATTATTTCATTATCCGTGCGCATGAGTGCGAGTGAAACATACCTGAGTAATAATAATAATTAAGTAATAATCAAATTTTCATTAGTTTTCGACAATGCCACTCTTTCGTCGTGATTAATAAGAAAATTATGTCTGAAATCGATGAAGATTTATCGTGTCCCCAGCATGAGGAAGCTGATACAAAGATTGTATATCATGTTTGCAACACTGATGCTGGAGCAATTTTGTGATACGGTGTTCAGACACGGATATTGGAAATATGCATCATTTAAAAAATGATGATTCACGTGTGATTTTATTTATTACAATACTACCTGAAAATTGGCCGTCTGGCCAAGGTAGCAACTAGTCATATGATCATAGTACACCCCACCACTACTCACTCGTATATATGTTGTCCATCAGAAAATGAGTGATGATTGGGGGCACTGGGATCTTGGACCAAACCATTTATGTGGACCCGAACGTCGTGTAGCGCCAGAAGCCAATCGGTTACACACATTTGTTCAATAAGTTATAACTTATAAATATTGGTAGGTCGCTAAATGCGTATAGAAAGAGTAAATAATAAGTATAGGGAAACTACAGGCTACAGATCTCTTGACCGACATAGTTTACCAACCGAGTTAGGTTCCGAGTCCGTACTGCGCTGCGCTGGCGCTAGTGCGCTACACCCATAGAGCAACACAGGCCACCGGCGGAGTGTTGCTCTATCGCTACACCATTCCACGAAAATATTTCGTCACGTAATACACACCACTCCAAATATATATAATATGATGTCAAAATTAATACACGCAGACCACAATACAAGTACAATACACATAGAAGTTCATATTGCGTCGTAGCGCAAAAGGCCGGAGTTCACCTTAAGCGCCGTAATATGCTCCTCTGCCTACCTCTTTGGGGATAAGAGACATGATGATTTCTTGTCTTTTTTAGTTTACTCATTTATAATTTAGATCAATATTCATGTGTCAGTATCATGTTGTCGATACATAGGCGTTATAATGTCGAATAATTTTACTGACAGCTGTCACAGGAATTCATCCTATATTTTACAGAATACGCATATAAAAAACCTTTGTACCAACTTTCATTTTCAGCTGATCGGATGCCGAAAGAAAAAAAAAATAGTACATACTGCTGCATTTGAGGTTATGTTGTGATCAAATAAAAATTTAATTTATATCTTTTTTTTAAATTACTACTGAAACGGGAAACCTAAACCTACCCAAAATGTTTTCTCGCAGCTGGAGGCATTTGTCTCGGCGATATTCACAAGCTACTACTTTTAGAACAAATGAGAATTCACCTGTAAGTTGATATTTAACCATAAAATAGTCTAATTCGTAAACTAATTTGAATTTAAATATTTGATTTCATACGGCGCTATATCATAATATTTTCTTTAGGCTCAACACAATGAAAAACAAGAGGGTTTGTTCTACACCATGAAACCTGAACTGTGTAAACAACTCTTCAGTCACGGTGGATTTCCAAAAAGTTTTATGCAACAGACTAAGACCTTCACAGAGACTGCAGTTATGGTGCGACAGCCTGCATTGGACCTGATCTCTTGCATAAGAGCCAGTGATTTGAATCAGCCAGCTATAAGATATGTTCTCTGTATCCTTTTAGTTTCTACACCCTTTGAGTACCGTCATTATTTATAGCCACAATTAAAGAACAATAGGTTACGGTCACCGGTGTCCTCACGGTGTTTGACAGTTTAATCACAAATTGTTGATGAGAGTATAATTGACAACAGCAAACAGTGTCTAGCAACTGCTGCCCGGAACTTCCATTTTATTCTATATAAATAAAATGCTTTCGTTTCAATTCCCGCCTCCCTTTTTCCTTCTTAGGGGAAAATCCCGAAAAACCCCCAAAGAACAAACATGCCAAATTTGAGCTTCTACAACCAGTAGTTTGGGCTGTGTGTTGTTTGCCTGTCTGTCAGTCAGTCACTCAGTAATGGACGCGTTTTATACAGGGTTACAGGTTAAGTCTATCAAAATCCTAGAAGTGGTAGTATCCATCATTTCTGACTGATTTAACCTACTGTTCTCAAGATTAATCGGCTTTTTTATGTTTTGTATCACAATTTTGTTCTGTTTTCTTCTATTTTTATGTAGAAGATTAGTTGCTTTATTATTTTAAATCATAATACTGTAAGTTGCCCAATGAGGCGGCCGAGTGGTCGCATGTGCGACTGCTAGGCAAGGGGCCTCGGGTTCGATTCCTGGGTCGGACAAAGTATTACTGGGTTTAAAAATCTCAGTAGTAGTACGGAGTCTGATATTGTGCCCGGTATATGGCAATAGGCTCACCCCCTATTAGATGGAACTCATAACATAAATAGTGAAAAGTGTTTTTTGCATTGTACAGTGCCATTAAGTGCCGTAACATACACCTCTGCCTACCCCTTCGGGGATAAAAAGCGTAATGATGTAATGTAATGTTAGTATCTTCAGAGATACGACATACCTATGTTATTTCAATCTGAGCACTGAAACATTATAGGCTCTATAACTCTGAAATCTCTTGACTTTTGACTTTTGTCGTAATACGAAGTTTTATTCTCAAATCAAATCAAATCAAATCATTTATTTGCACAAAACATGGTAGGTAACAAGATGTTGAATAAAATGTTTATGTACAGCATGTTTTGCCGTGGAACACAGCGCGCAAAAGTATTATTAAATGTATTTCATTAATACGAATGAGTCATTTTACAATATAATCAAATTAGTATTAGATAAATAAAAATTTCATGAAAATGTCAGTTAATCAAAGTGAACGTCAAGTCAATTAGGTATACATTTAATTTAATTTAAAGAATAATATGAGATACAATTACATATTAAAATTATTTTCATTTAAAAATTCATGAATAGTATAATAACATTTCTTGGCCAGAATTATTTTCAATTTATTTTTAAATAATCTTACATTACAATTTCTAATATCATTAGGAATTTTATTATATATTTTTGGCGCCATACATAATACGCTTTTTCGTGCCAGAGTAGTTTTTGCACTATGCAGACACAGTCTATTACTATTAATTTTGCGCCTGTTTCTTTTTACCACATCAGAAATTTGTTCAAATAGATGAGGGTTTTTATGAACAAACAGTGCTGTCTCTAATATGTATAATGACGGAAGTGTTAAAATTTTATGTGCTATAAAGGACGGTTTACAAGAGTCAGTCGAGTCCAGGTGAAACATGGCTCGTATGCAACGTTTTTGGGCCTTAAAAACCAGCGCATTATCTGTTGAGTTTCCCCAGAAGATTATTCCATACCGTAAGACAGAGTCAACAAGGCCGTAGTAGGCCGTGAGTGAAGCATCGATGTTCACTACTGGGGCCAATCTGTACATAGCATATGCAGAACTGCTCACCTTTTTGCATAATTGTGCTATATGCGCCTTCCAATTCAACTGCCTATCGATAGTTAGGCCTAGGAATTGCGCTGATTCTACCTCGTGTATAGGGTTACTATCGTAATCTATATGAATATCATGAGGCTGAGGTCTCTGGCTAAAGTGCATAACTTGAGTTTTTAATAAGTTTACTTTAAGATTGTTATTATCTAGCCAGTTAATAATTGATTCCAAGCAATTGTTTATGTCGTCTTGATATAATTCTTTTGTCTTACACTGTACAGATACAGTACTATCATCTGCAAAAAGCGACATTGGGTGGGTGGTAAATTTAGGCAGATCATTTATATAAATGATAAATAAAAGCGGACCCAGTACGCTGCCCTGTGGCACACCAAAAGTAATGCTACGCGACTCAGACAAATAAGATTCTTGATTCTTAGTCATAATATTAATCTTAGATATAGTTGTCATCTGAGATCTATTAGAAAGATATGATTTTAGTAGATCCAGAATACTGCCTCGTATACCATAAGATTCTAATTTGTTTAATAGTATTTGATGGTCCACGTAATCAAAAGCCTGAGTCATATCGCAGTATATGGCACATATGGGAGTCCTTTTATCAACGTTTGTCAGCACTGTTTTGTAAAAATCATATATAGCCAAATTGATACTTTTGTTTTTTCTGAAACCTTTTTGCTCATGACATAGTAGTTTATTAGATTCTAAATAAGTGTATAATTGGTTATAAATATACTTTTCAAAAATTTTAGAAAATATTGATAATAGTGCAATAGGTCTATAGGCTTGTAATAGTTCTTTATCACCCTTTTTATACAGTGGTTTTACAATAGTTACTTTTAAATTATCAGGAAAAACACCGTTACTAATGCATAAGTTTAAAAGATTTTGAATAATAATACTGAATAATAATACCTATCCATTTTTTTTAAGGGGGGAATATCATCGAATTACTTCTCCCGCCTGGGTGAGACAGGAGGGAGTATCAGACTCCATTATTATAGATACATATACATAACTTCACGCCTGTCTCCCATGGGGGTAGGCAGAGACTAAGAAACGCCAATTACTACGATTCTTACATACCTCTTTCGCTTCATTAACAGTCATCAATCTTTTCATGCATGCTCGTCGGTTAAGGGTACTTTTAATTTGGCCCTTCTTTAATATATCGCCAATCTGGTCACTATAATTATGTCCGCCTAGGGCGCCCTCTAACGACGGCCCCCATTCATATCCGCTCTGTATACTTCTTTCGTTACTCTACTTTCATCCATCCTTTCTACATGTCCAAACCAGCGTAACATTCCCTTTTCAATCCTTGTCACTACATCATCTTTCAATACACTCCATTATTGTATATCAATGATCTCGGAAACGGCATCATTGATTTTCTTGAAATTTTATATTAAGGGGATTTCGGGGGCGATAAATCGATCTGGCTAGATTTTATTTTCAGAAAACGTCATTTTGTCTGTGTTTTCATAGAATAAAAGTCCTTATAGAATACGAAATACGAAGCTACATCTTGCCGTAACTTATACGTTAATTACATTGCAATTGCATAGCGTAGTCGGGAAATCGGGTGCTTTCCGTGCAGAACATTCAGATTCAATCATCGGCTCAATTTTTTTTGGTTTTTATTCTTCTATTTTATCTTTTATTTTATTTTTTGTATTTTGTTCTACTTCTTTTCTATATTTTTTGGTTTTGTTTCCGAAAATATATGTAGGTAAGTACCTTCTAAAAAAAACACCGAGCTAGGCTCGGTCATCCAGGGACTTACGTTAATGTAGATACACACACATGTATATGAACCTACTTAGTAATAGTAACCTACTATTACCTACAATATTTCAATATTTCTATACCCTTTAATATTCCTTAACATAAGCTAATTAGATGGTGAAAAAGGGTCAGGCAAGTCTCTGACATTGGCTCACGTCCTACATTACGCCCATGAAGATGGTTACCTTATTGTGCACGTACCTTGGGGTAAGTTACACTTTTGTTACAAGAAGGCAGTATTTAGTTGTTGTACAAATTTGTCTCATACAATCTTTTTTCACTGTTACGGCAGTTAAAGTTCAGCGACAAGAAAATTGTTCTGAGAAAACTGACAAAAGAAATAGTATTTCTTAAAAACTCCCTATGGCTATACCTGATATAAAAAGGCCTACCAATGAGTAGAGTATTCAAAATATATTATACAAAATATTATATTATAAATATTATATTATACAAAACTTCTAAAAAAATATTTTCACTGATATAACACATCTTTATGTGTGTCGAAGTAGTGATATTTCAATACCTATTTGTGAAAATCTGGTATAATTTTGTATCCATTTTCGCTGAACATATATTGGGTTGTCTAGGTGGGTATTGGTCCCAGATATCTCACCTCACAGTATAGTGCACTATTTACTGGACACCTGTATAAAAAGTTAGCGAAATCTTTTTTACACAAATCCAAAAAGAATTATAAAAATCGGTTCAGCTGTTCTCGACATTTTGCAACACATTTAGTGATTCATTTTTATATTATTAGATAAACACCTCACAAGCCGGCAAACGAGTAGGTAGACGGATCACTTGATGGTAAGCAATCGGCACGCGGCGTCGCCTATGGACACCTGGACCACCAGAGGCGTTACAAGTGGGTTACCGACCGTGACATGTACGTGTCCGTGGGTATAGAATTCTAGATCATACAGATTTTCAGTCTCTTAAAATCGTAGTTAGTAAATAGACATCTGCTCGTACGCTCTAGGTACCAAGATAACATAATACCCAATATGTGAACTATGAATCTTAGACCGGTGTGGCCACTTTATGTTACATAGTGAAAAATATTTAAAAAATGTGTTAGAGTGATAGGTATAATTTTCTGTTCTACTTTTCAGTTTCGGAGTGGTTGAGACGAGTGCCGCGCCATAAAGAGATGTCCAATTCTCAGACCCACGAGGGTTTCGTCGACCTGCCTCTCGACGCAGCCGCCTGGCTTATACACTTCAAGAGTCAGAATCAGACATTACTGAAATCCGAAAATGTAAGTACCTTAAGCATATAATACGTAATATTCATTTAGGTAGTTCACAAACATTAGCTTAAAAACTACACCACAATTTGTTTAAATGTACCGATAGTTCCCAAACAGGATACACTTGTATCTTGGGGACTTGACTTGAGATACCTTTGATTAATGGCACTACTTAAGGACTTTCAAGTAATTCTAGTTATTTGACAATATTAAAGTAGATATACATTGAACCAAAATAATAAAGAACTATGGACTACCTGTCTTTTATTTTTTTACTTTACACAACGTAAAACAAATACTTAATTGGTTTGCCTTGTGCAATCATTGTTTCATACACAATGAATACATAGTGCAGGAATACAGCAGGTTAATGCCGTTGTTGTTGTTAGTTACCTTCTTGGAATTTGTTTTATCTGGATTCTTGTGTTTCACAGTTGAAGGTGTCTAAAGAGTATGTGTGGAGTAAACGCGAGAAGACTGAAGCTGGTTCTCCATTACATATGTTGGTCGAACACGGAATAAATCGCGTCAAGTACGCTTGTGACGTCGTGGACGTACTCATTGATGAGATCAAGATGCTGTCCAGTAATAAACAGTATGTTTTAATTATATTATTTTACTGTTCCTATTTATTAAACTGTCAAGCACCAAGCGGTCACCGGTGACCGCGACCTATTGTTCTTTAATTGTGTCTATAAAACCGGTACTCGACGAGTTAAATACTCTTCCACGGGCGACTCTAGTATCTCGTTCTGGCGGCGCTTAGTCTCGTGCTATTAGTTTTGTGGTCTAGGAACTTGAATGTTGGGCTCTTCCTATTAAACTGTCAAGCACCAAGCGGTCACCGGTGACCGCGACCTATTGTTCTTTAATTGTGTCTATAAAACCGGTACTCGACGAGTTAATTTCTATAGCTTTAATGTTGATTTATTTATATTTCTAATGTACGTAAGTACCTACACCATATACGTAATAGTATTCTATTACGTTGATTAGTAGTTGATTAGTATTCTATTACGTTAGATTGTCTATTGACAATCTTACATAGAACACCATATTAAAAGCAAGAGGTCTACATTGGATTATTAAAATGCTGCTAAAATTTTAAATGACACTTGGTTGATACTACAAAGTAAAAACGCTGTATTTCAGATGCAAAACATTTGTGGCGATCGACGGTTTCAACAGTTTCTTCTACCCGTTGACGCGACTCAATACTCCCACCAAAAAGACGGTGAAACCTGATGAAGTTACACTTACTACATCCTTTCTGAAACTGACACTTAACGACTGGGTAAGCACAATGTGTGCTAACACGATTGAAGTCACGAATATTTCCATGAATATTTATTTTAATAACCTAAATACTTTCAATTTAACAGGCGAATGGTGTTATAGTAGTAACTGCAGACCAGTTAGCAGTTCCCGATGACCATCAAGAAAGTTTCCTTCCAAGATACTTACTGTACAAAAAGGTATGGTCATGGTATGACTATAATTTCGGCAGAAAATCAGAAATACATTAGCGTCGCGCAGCGGTTCGTGGCGCGCCAGAAGCATATTGAATTGGACATTTACTATGCTTAGATACACACTTAGGTCGTGTCGTGTCGGGTAGGGTGGGTCGCCAAATATTTGCAGCTTTTAAGTGTGGGAGAGCCATGCTTCGGCACGAATAGACCGGCTCGGCTGGAGTGATACCACGGCGCCACGGACTTACAGAAAACTGACGTGAAACAACGCTTGCGTTGTGTTTTGTCGGGTGAGTGAGGTTACCGGAGGCCCAATTACCCCCTCCTCAATCCCTGAATCTCCAACAATCCTCAAATTCCGAATCCCCATCTGGTGTTTTGGTTATTCATGGGCGGCGCTGATTGCTTACCATCAGGTTATCCGTCTGCTCGTTTACTGGCTTATCCTATAAAATAAAAGCCTTTTGTTGGCCACGGCGCTCCAACACTCTACGTCATGGTAATCAAAATTGTGAAGTTTTTTTGTATAAAGCGAGCTAACCACGCGAATAAGCTTTAAAGCTTAGAAAAAATATGTAGTAAGTACTAATATGATCATTTCTGTTTTATCTCTAACATCTTTATTCTCTTACAGGGCTTTGACCACTTAGACCCATTTGTGCCAATTGAAGTAGGCAAATATAATGAAAAAGAGTTCCAAAGCTGTGTGGGATACTACAGAGACCGGCTGTGGCTGAGAGGACCTCCCGAAGTTGAGACAGAATTAAAGTTCACCAGTGCATGCAACCCCTACAGGTTTATGGAACAGTGTGCACCATTGTAAAATACTTAAATGTATTTAATATAAACGTAGTTTATTACTTTTACTTTAATTTTACACCTAGTAGATAAGTTGATAAATACATTGATTCACATAATTATATAAATAATAATCTATAGTATAGTATAGATTCTATACCATATATGTAGTAGGAACATAATAAACATGCTAATCTCCAAAAGTAACTGGTTCCAATTGATGAATAATTTTGTTAGATAGTACATTTAACAAGCAAAGCTATAAAACAACAATCTATGGTATGTTTGTGGTTTTATAGTTTTCCTGGGATACAAGCAGACCCAGTTGTAAGCAATCGCCGCGCATGAAAACTAGGTACTCACTACACTTACAAGGGCATTGGCCATGCTCTTCCATTACACATAATGTAAAACCAGAAGCGAGTACCCACTGGTCAGAGCCACATTGAATATCAATGTTAAGTTTGAACCTTCAATATATTGGTTCCCCGAGAGATTTCAGATCAAGTTGTCAAATTGCTTCGAGTGCCTGGAGAATTCCAGTGGAAGAGAATTTTACAGATTTCCCAATTGTTAAAAATATACTTAAGAGGATAATAAAGAACATAGACATGATTTTAATAATTTATTTTGCTGAACATAATATCTACGAAATTAGTGCTTACAATCAGAACCTAAACATCATAACCCACAATATGACGTTTGCCGATGCACTCTCCTACATAAAACCAGAAGATGACTTCTGCTCCTACAAGAGCGTTTAGGGTAGCCTGTTTGATAGTCTGGTCCTTCCACGCACCAGTCTTAGCACTTGTCAACAGTTTGCCAATGCCCGCTTTGATTTGTGGGATTTCACTTAGTTTTGGGGGAGCCAGTTCCACTCGCGCATATTTCATGAAGATGTTGAATTTAGGACGGGCCTGTGCGATTGCCGCTGGAAAAATAAAGTGTTAAGTATAACATAATTAGTAAATTATGGTAAGACCAAGGATGTGGGTCACTGGTACATCATGTCATTGTTATTTATCAATTACTTATAATCATTATAAAGAAAGACTAAGTTTTAATGATTGTTTCCATTAGATTCACATAACCTTCAATCTGAATTTACAAGAATTACATAATATACTGGAAGAATCCAAAACAGACATTGTAAAAGTATAGCATCTTCAAACTATCATAAAAGCTACTTACAACCAATTAGAGAAGGTACCTTGCCGACTGCACTTGCCATTTTGCTAAATTTAATCAAAACAGTTGAAGTACAATCTTCAATTTTATATTCGGAATGGCTGAAGGTGGAGGAATTTAGAACTGTCAAACAGCCATTGAATGAATTTGACGCCTGACGTTGACGTTAACGACAGCGACGGACATTTTCAGATTTTCATTCATTTTAGTCTTTTTTTCATAAAATAATCTAAGCTTTCGACTAAATAATTACTAAATACCGAAACAAAAATTATTTTATTTATATAGAAAACCAACAGCGTTACATATAGTTTGCGTGATTTACAGAGATTAAGGCTAATAATAGGTTTCCCTTATTTCCTAGATTTTGTTAAAATGCGAACGGACTTAATTATCATAACAAAATAAGATCAAGAACAAACAATGATTTACTTAATCAGTTAGTTAACTAACTAACTGATTAAGTAAGTCATTGTTCAATCTAAGTCTTTGTAACTACAAAGACTTAGATTTCGGAATAATGATTTAAAATACGGAGTTGGTGTCCTGGTTGCTTTTATTAATATATTTAATGATGTGTTCTTTAAATTTAGGTTTAGCACAACAGCACAACTGAATAGATCTATTTCGGCAAAGTTATTATTGTGTGTTCGGGCAATGCGAGTCAGTAGGTACACAATTTTTTGCATATTATTTGGTCGAGCGCCGAGGTACCTACATGGATTATCGGCGTATGGCGAGTGCGTCTTCTGGGAACGTTAAACGTTATCTGCTGGACCAACTCAGGGCAATTCAAGCGGCCATTAATTATATCGTATTTCTATAACACATATCCATTACTCTTCTTCTTTCCTCGAGTGTTAGCAGTCCATACGATCTACAGATGTCTTCGTTAGACATCGGAGCTTTATGAAGGCGATATTGAGGTGGTTGACAAAATATATTTTGAATACGTTAATTGTTTCATATAAGTGGCTAATTGCGGGGACCATATATTATTATTATTGCACGCATATTCTAGGACACTGCGGACATATGCAAAATATACCAATTTAATAGTTTCAATGTTTTTAAAATCTTTACAAGACCTAATAACAAATCCCAAGTTCTTATAAGCCTTTGTGGCAATGTGATCAATGTGATTAGAGAAAGTCAACTTGTCGTCAAACAAGACTCCTAGTACCTACTGCCACGGCTTTAATAATGATACCAATAAAGTGATAGTCGTAAGTTACAGGGTTTTTCTTTCGTGTATAACAAATATATTGACACTTTGTTATGTTAACAGTTATTTTGTTTGAAATGTAATAATCATGCAAATTACAAAGGTGAAGCGCACTGCAATCATCAATTGACCTTATTTTACAGAATTTTTTTTTGGTGTCTGCATACATTAAGTGCTCGGAATATTTAAAGCAGTTGGTAATATCAAACAAATACGCGTTGTAGAAAAGAGGCCCCAAGTGAGAACCCTGCGGAACGCCACTAGGTATATCAACAAAGTTTGAACGGTACCCACCTATCACCACAGCTTGCGACCTCTTTATACCCAGTCTATACATTTATTTACCTGAAACTATTTATCCAAAAAATGGGATCGGATTTAATGACTGCATCCAAACTTCTTTTAAATTCTACACCTTGCTTTTCACTGCGCCATGACAGGCTAGCTCATTTCTGCCTATAACTTAATTCGCTAATTTTCAAAGTAGCCACACTATCTATATTGTGCTACGTCGATCATTTTATGTCAAACGTGTTTGTCAAGTGAAACCGGCAATCAAAATCAAAGCATTTTATTAGAAAAATTGCCAATTGCTATTAGAAAATAAGATTATTAAAATAAAAATTAAGCCTGCTCTACTTTCGTAGATTGTAGAAATGTATTTTTATGGTATGTATCGACTATTTCATACTCCAACACTAACATTGGCGTGGCAAACAAAAATTGCTATTGAAATGGTATTTTACAAGTTAAATAAGGATTAAAGATGAAATTCCTCACTACTTTATGAATTTACTATGTTTTATAAAACATCACACAATTGATATTGACGTAAAGCGCTATGTTTTTTTGTAATATTCGGGACACGTCAGTGTTCCTTTGACGACGCCGGCCATCGTTTCGTTTCTGAGGTTACTTCCTATTCGACATCGATTACAAAATATGTTTTCGGGGTGTAATAATTGTAATGAATTAATTTACATAGATTCCGACTTAAAATGATTGTGACAGATATAAACAAAACTGCACTAGCATTCTTATTGGATTTCTTCCACCACTGAAAAATGTTATTAATTTATAGTATTAGAAGTGCCACAAAAACTTAATAATTTGAATAAAAAGTAATAACTTGTAGTAGTTATGTAAATATTTGTTTTCAGCATTATTCTTGTTACTACTAAGTATATTATCTAACTGCCACGGCAACACACTACAAGGCACTATTGATCTGAAGCGGCTACAAAACATCCTACAGGAAAATGTGAAGAGTCAAGATATTACATCATTGTACTACTCAGTGAAGGGGCTGGCAGAACTTAATGCTGACATTCCAAATATCTGTGAAGTGAGTGTTATATATTTTGTATTTCTTTCAATCGGATTAAACTATTAACATAACTCCTTAGATTTTTATTAAAAATGTATAGTTCACTTTGATATTCATGAATATAGGTAGGTTAGTAGTTAATAAGTTCCAAAAATGTATTATTTTACAGATACTGAAAAACATCAAGTATGATCCCAAAAACATAGAACAGGTGTTCCAAGTGGCTAATGCTGCTGCCATAACCAGTTGCCAGAATTTCATGAGGCCAGAAATCTTGAGTCCCGCTACACAAACACTAGACAGGAAGGATGCCACTATTGCTGACATCTACCATGCTGTCTTTACTCTAAGGGCATTTGGCAAGGGCACTGTCTATGACAAAGAAGATGCTCTTAAGAATCTTATTCAGTTGTTGAAGAAGGATGATTCTCCAGCCAAGTGAGTTGTCTATACACAAATGCATTGAGCTGAAGAGTTTGTTTCATTGTTGGTTGAAGCTTCGTAGGTCATCACTCTAACATTGTTTTCATCATAACACATGTGTACATCATTTTCTGTCAGGTGTGAATTTGAGATTTTAGATACCCAAGTATATTTTCGTGGTTTTAGCTTTAAATTGTAAGAAGACATTCAAATGACATCAAATATTAGTTTGATTTGACTATTATCAGTGCTTTGCTTAGATAATGTAAATGTTAGTGAACTGATGAGTAATATGTCATTTCAGTTAAACTGTCTAGTGTCAAATTCAAAGTCAAAGTCAAAGTATTTATTTGTGTGCTTTTTGGTGATACAAAAGGTCTTAAAATTATTATTATAGTAGCGCAAAAAGCTGCCCATTAGGCATACACTATTTAATAAGTATAAAAATAATCATCACATTCAAAATTTTAACATAAATAATTAATAAAATGTCAAAAATTAGTCACAATATAAATTATAACAGGCATTAAATAAACAATCTATAGCAAAAATGTCAAAAATTTTGCAACAAAATAAATTAATACAAGCACTAAATAACCCAAGTTTTCATAATTAATTATACACATAGTTGTCAGTTTATTACATTTTGTCATGAAAGAAATCGTCAATGGCATCATAGCATTTATCAATTAGAAAATTGTTAAGTTTCCGTTTAAATTGTGTTAAATTCAGATTCTTGATAGTATTTGGGATTTTATTATATATTTTGGGTGCCATGCAAAGGATACTTTTATGCTTAAGGGCTGTTTTTGAGGCTCTCAGACATAATTCGTGTCGACGTTCTGATCTTGTCGATCTGTGACGGTCCTCAGAGGCTTTTTTAAACAAAGTACTATTTTTTCTGACGAACAGTGCAGTTTCGTATATGTAAAGGCAGGGTAAAGTTAGTATTCTAAGAGATTTAAAATGAGGTTCACAACTGTCCGTTACTTTCAAGCTACACATTGACCTAATGCACCTTTTCTGTGCTTTAAAAATAGTACATTTCTCGGAGGAATTTCCCCAAATAATTACACCATATCTTAATGTGGATTCAACATAACCATAGTATGCAGCAACAACTGCTGCCTGGTTAACTATTTTCTTGAGTTTGTATAGAGCAAAGGCAAATTTGATGTTAGTTCCATTTTAAATACCAAATAAATGTATCTTATCAAGGAACGAAGTTATTCTGCCTACTTTACGACTAAACCTTAAAAAATAATGAACAGTAACCAATGCACAGAATCTTAAAATGTTGTAATGAGTTTATCTACAAAATACGGAATAGGTTTGAATGAGTAATGTCGTGTGCAGCTACGGCTACGTGTTCTCGCTGTGCGAGCACATGGGGTGCGGCGCGTGGACGGCCGCGCACGCCGACGCCGTGCTGCTGGCCGCCGACGAGGCCGACGCCGCGCTGCACTTCGAGGGCGGCCTGCCCGCCACCGCCACGCTGCTCGCCGCCATCCACAGGTCTGTCGCGCCCTCGCTGCGCTCGCCGTCGCCGCCGCGCGATCTAACCCGTACTTTACTTGCTGTGCAGGACGTTCAAAAACTTGAAGAAGCCGTCCCCTCTGACGGAGGAGCAGAGATACAAGTTCGCGGAGTATTTACTGACCAGACGGTCTGTCAACACGCCTAAGGGAGCCTGCTTGTTGCTCGAAGCGGCCAATGCGCTCGCTGATGATGAGGTAATGGGAGGAAAGTTATTGGCGACATATGCGATCTCTGTCGGTCCCTAAAACACCGTAACATTGTAAAACTCGTCGACGCTAAAATAACACGTGAAATGTAATTTCCACAGCCGACTCCGATAAGCATCTCCATCAAGGGCAAGAAATTCATCACGTCGGAGTCTGACAGCATTGAGTTCTCTATCAGCGACCTGGTGGGCCGGCCCCTGCGCCTGCTCAAACCTGACGAAGTGCTCGCGCAGTCTGGCACGCGACTCGCCGACGACGTCGTCGTACTGTCCAAACAACCTCTGACACAGAAACCCAACGAACCGACCACTTTCGTGCTCAATCTCAGCAAGATTAAGGCTCAATATGGGCTGTACAAGATTGCGTTGAGTGCTGGATCTAAGACGACCAATGTCAATGTGGCGGTATTAGGCGAGATTCGCGTGAGCACCGTGGAAGTCGGCGTCGGCGACGTGGACGGCACTACCAGTCCCAAGCTGACCACTGTCGCATACCCCAACAAGTTGACTGACAAGCTTCAGGCTGATCATTTGCAAAAGTAAGTACTATAATAATATGTAATGTAACAATGCGCTATCGCTGGCAGCGAGTGACACGAGTGGTCCGTCCGACAGAGTGAGCCTCAAGTTCAGCGTGCGCGACAAGTACGACAAGCCGGTCCTGGTGCAGCAAGCCTTCGTCCGCGTCGCCGCCGCCGACGACGAGACCATCTTCGTGGCCGAGCCCGACAACACCAAGGCCTACAAAGTCGAACTCGTGAGTCACTCTCGCTCTAAACCTACTTCATGAATTTTACAATTTTATTAAACGGATATAGAATTTGAAAAATAATACACGTGATTCATAAATGTTAGTGGACTTCTGCTACACGTGGGTCTTTATGTCCATGCGTCGGTGTCAGTCATTTGTGTACATGGAATGGCTCACGGCTTTATAAACGTAGCTTTCTTGAATTGCCTCGTTGGCCGAGTGGTCTCAAGTGCGACTGCCGGGCAAGAGGTCACGGGTTCGATTCCTGGGCCGCGGAAACTATTACTGAGTTTTTTATAAATTCGCAGTAGTAGCACGGTGTCTGGAATTGTGCCCGGTATTTGGCAATAGGGTCACTCCCTATTATATAGGATTCATAACATAAATAGGGAAAAATTGGGTGTTAGATTGTACAGGGGCATAATGTATACCTCTGTCATATCATAGTTAATTTAAAGTTTGTGTATCCAATAATATTATTATTTTGCGCGATTAGAACGTGGGCAGCATCGCTAAGCACCTGAACTCCGCGTCCGGCGCGTACTCGCTGACGATATACCTCGGAGACAGCGCCGTTTCCAACCCCATCGCCTGGCCCGTCGGGACGTGCTGTTCAACTTCGGCAAGGAGGCGGCGGCGCGCGGCGGTGGCGCGGCGGCGGGCGCGGCGCGCGGCGCTCGGCCCGAGCTGGCGCACTCGTTCCGCGCGGCCGAGGCGCGTCCGGCGCGGCTGCTGTCGGACGTGTTCGCGGCGGCGTGCGGCGCGCCGCTGCTGCTGCTGCTGGCGCTGTGGGCGCGGCTGGGGCTCAACGCGGGCCGCCTGCCGGCCGCGCCCAGCGCGCTGGCCTTCCACGCGTCGCTGGGCGCCGTGCTGGCGCTGTACGCCTGCGTGTGGCTGCGGCTGTCCATGTTCGAGGCGGCGCGCTACGTGCTGCCGCTGGCGGCGCTGACGTTCGTGTCGGGCCAGCGCCTGCTGCGCCGCCTGGCGCGCGACAAGCAGCGCTAGAGCCGCCCTGCGCGCTCCGCATCTTGTTTCGTTTCCTTACAATGTAGACCGTTGTTGCCCTTCATTTCTACAAAGTTTTCAACCGTTATCGAGCGATGTATGCTGAAGCATTTTATACGACGAGCACTTTCTCGTACGGCGAAGATCCCGATCTCTACAAAATTTCAATGAATAACTAGTAAATGAGGCACTCAATGTCGACATTGATATTCAATTGCAAAGTGTGTTGTATATAAGTAAAGTATGTGTCTTCATGGGTGACGTGAGAAGGGTATTGTGTCCTGCTTCATTTTATGTGAGATGGTTGTTTAGGAGTTCTACTGAACACACAACTAGCAATACTTACTTTATAAATTGTTTAATTTAATAGGACTCCTTCATTTACCCCATCAATCCCTGTAAAAATAATTTAATAAAATTAATAATTATGTTATATATTTTTTTATTTACAATCCTTTTGCATTTCTGACGCTCTCTTTAGTTGCTACTTATACAATAAGCTGTATCACTCTACAGTCGAAAGCGCAATTGGGGGCCGTTCAAGTATTACGTAAGCACCAAGGGGGGGTGGGGGGGTCTCTGTTTTGCTTATTTTGGATGACATGGGGGGTGGGGGGGTCTAGATGATGATTACGTCATCGTTAGTTATTCAAGTTTTTTCGGGGATTCCCGCAAATAATACATATGCGTAGGCACTCGCTTTGAGAACTGATTAGGGGAATTACCGCGCATTAGGGAAATTACCGTGCGCTATTCACTTGTCTAATAATTCGCTCTCGTGCCGGCCGCAAGCTGCAAGTGCGCATCTATCAGTATTGTTTTGTTTGGATTCTAAACGTATTGTAAGCATTGAAAGTTATCATTTGTGTTTATGTTGATGCAATTAGCCAAAGTTTAACGTTTTAATTATTTAAATTTAAATATCTTATTAGAATGTCATATCATATAGACAAATCCAAGTTATACCAAAAACTGTTCGAAAGTTTTAAAAAATCTCATACTGGGACAAAATCGGATGAAAATGAGCAGACTCACAACACTGAGCAGCAATCCAATGTCATCGATAACTTAGAATCGTGGATTCAGGTTTCATGGACTGAAGACTGTTAATGTGTTCCGAAAATATACTTTATGTTAGTTATGTTCTTTATTTCTGATTATATTTTTTGTCATTTACTCTATGTGTATCAGTTAAACCTAATATTTCCATAAATTTTCCTATTTTAAAAATAACAATATAAAAAAACATTTATTACTAAAAATGTTTACGTAAGCATAGGGGGAGGGAGTAAGTGCTTTGCTTATTTTTTATGACAAGGGGGGCGGGGGGGTAAAAAATGGTAAGAAATCTGCTTACGTAATACTTGAACGGCCCCTTGGCTGATAGGAAGTAGCGGTGAAGTGAAATGGTATCTTGGGGTGGGGGAAGGTCAGACAGAACAACTGTCTGTCATCTGCCTTCACCGACGGACAAACTGATAACTCAAGCCTGAAACTGCGTTAAGCGGGAGCCCGCACGGTTTCATACAAAAATGCTCCGTCACGGGAACACGGTAGCAGGGAGGCGCGGCACGCACCCTCGCCACGGGGCCCGCACCCTCGCCACGGGGCCCGCACCCTCGCCACGGGGCCCGCACCCTCGCCACGGGGCCCGCACCCTCGCCACGGGGCCCGCACCCTCGCAATAGGGCCCGCACGGTTAGGTTAGGTGTACAAACTGCAAAATCAGGCCTTACGAATCACAGGAGGCTATATTAAAAGCTCCCCTATTCACGTAATGGAATCAGATTTATGTATCCCACCTTTATTTTTGAGAAGAAAATATTTAGCATACAAATTTTGTCTAAAAATCCGATCGTGGTCAAATAATGTCACAATTGATCTTGTATCCAATCTGAGTAATTTATGTCGTACTTCTTATTGGCAAAATAAAAAAATACCATTGCTTGTTGAAGTGTATAATGACGTCAGACATTTGGAAATTACAGCATCAGAATATTTAAAAATGTTTAGCCTAGAAATTTGGACATCCATTAATACAAAAAATATTAAAATTAAACTCAAAAGTTTAAGCACCGCTAAACGTAATTACAACCAAAATATGTTGCTGAATGAGATTATAGCAGAACTGAATACGTTATATTTCGGATGGCATAAAATTTACACTGACGCATCTAAAAGCCCCCAGGGACAAGGAGCGGGGTTATTTGACCAGAGCTTAGGCAACAGATTTGGATATAAAATTAAATGTGAGGTATCCATTATGTCGCTGGAACTCATAGCAATCTACAAAGCACTTAATTACGTCTTGAATAAAAATTTGAATAAAGCAGTAATTTTTTCAGATAGTAAAAGCGCACTCCAACATATTGCTCGATGCGCCTCTGGCTACAGCAGAGGTACTTCGATAGCATATGATATTCTAAAAGTTATAACGATACTGAAAAATAATGATATTGAATGTAGATTGCAGTGGGTTCCAGCACATATTGGACTTAACGGAAACGAGGAGGCCGACCGTATATCCAGGTCGGCAGTGGTAGAGGGATGTATAATTAATTACGTACCTGATTATTGGGAATATACAAGTAAATACAAACTCACATGCTTTAATTTGTGGAAAAGTCATTTTTTCAAATTATCTATGGATAAAGGTATTTGGTACAAAAGCATCCAAGGTCGGCCTAATCGTGTTCCTTGGTTTGAGAATACTAATTTGGATAGAAACTATGTTAGATTAATATTAAGACTCCGTTCAGGACACTATCCATCGGCGAAGTTTGCATTTCTTATGAAAAAGACCGATTCTCCTAACTGTACACTTTGTGGTCAAATTGAAGATGTCCAACATTTGCTGATGGAGTGTGCTCGGAATGGAGAAGAACGTGAGATATTCGTGAAGGATTTTAAAATAAATAAATTTGATGTAGGCGTTATACAATCCATTTTATCTGTACCATCTTCAGCGATTATGAAAAAGTTGTGCTATTTGATTTTGGTCCTCCACGAATAACAATTAATCAAGTGAGTCAATGTTAAGTACGTAAAGCAATGTAAAAATGCTGACATATCTGTGATAAAAGCCCCTAAATAGTTTGTTAGAATAAAAAAAAAAACTCCTCCTTGCTGGTGCAGCTCAGCACCACCCTCCGGTCCTTGACTTTTCGGACTTTTTGCACCTGAAGACCGCTCACCTTCGCGTTCAACGCCTGTCGGACTCTACCCACAACGTCGGCGCCGGTTTCCATGTTGTCACCGGAGGACACGACAACTGAGTGTTTCGGTCTTGCGACTCGCCCTGCACTCTTCGGCTTCGACAGGACCTCCGCATAGGAGGGCACTTCTGCCCTCATTTCGGAGACCTGTCTCCCGATCTCCCGGGTCGCAGACTTGAGCTCTTGCATCTCTGCAAAAAGCTCAGTGCTCTGGCTGCAGTGCCCCTCGATGGCAGGCGCCGTGACAATGCTCCGCTGGTCAACCAGCATTTCTTTCAGCTCCCCCATTTGTGCGGTGGCTACCCTCAGTAGTTCACCATGCCTAGTCATTTTTTCGAGGAGTCTCCTCTCTGTCGGCTAATTTGGGAGCCTCCAAGCTCGCGACTTGTCCACGCTCAGGGAGCCTCTGATCCTCGGACTCCTTTACCAGTTGGTAGAGGCGCTCAATGGCCAGTGTCGCCTGGGTCTTGATTTCCGTTTTGAGGTTTCTTGCGAGACCCAGTTGACACTTGGCCTGTTTCAGCCAGTATCGCGCCTCCACCGTCCGGTTCTCGAATGTTCGAGTAGGCTGAGGAGAATTCGGAGAGGGTGCGAGCCCAGATAACCTACGCTCTCGCGGCTTGGCGGGGGCCAGGCCACACTTCGGCAGGACTGTGCCGCGCTGTTCGTTTGCTGGTGTTTTTCCGGTGTCGGGAAACAAACACCGGATCGCATTTGGGGGAGCCGGCGACTCGGGAGTGGTGTCGTACATGATGGCGGTGTAAAAGTAAGAGGAGCACTCGACTATGCTGCTGTATCCCTGTAAAGAGGGGATACAGGTGTCAAAGATAAATGGTTTTTGCTCTGTAAAGGGGGGACTGTCAATAATAAGGGGAAAGTAATATATAAAACAATAATTCCCTGTATAGGGGGGGTCAAATAATTATTATATAACTTAAGTTAATATCACACAGTCAAATTAAAGCTAAAAGTATACAAGTATAATTTTTTGGTTTTCGCTAATGTCCTGCGTCCAGAGTATAAATCGGACGAAGCGGAAATCCAGAAAAATTTAATAGGACAGGTGTGGTCCGTCAATTAAGCAAATAAAAATATTTTGCTACAAAAAAGTGTTTGCTTCTTCCTTTCCCTATATATACGGCAGGTGGGCGGGCAAAAATTTGAAAAAAAAAAAAAATTTGAAAATTTTTGTTATCCGATCGGGGCGTGCGATACGTCGGGAGAAGCGTCTCGGCGCGGGCCGTCCAACAGAGTGAAAATCCCGGATCGGTTTCCTGAAATAATTTAAAGTTTTGAATGAAAAACGAGTTTTTTCACCAAATTTTGGTCAATTGCGAGGATTTTTCGAGAAACGTCTGGAGTTATCGAGTCAAAAACCTATCCAAATCGTAGATTATAAGTTGCTGAAGCTGTAGTAAAAATTTTGTCGCCCTAGGTCAAATATGAAAAAAGTAAAAAATTTTCGAATGAAATATTTTGGTCCAAAGTAACTTTAGGGGTGGAAATTAGTTCGGGGGTTGAGCCCTCGACTGTGAAAAGTACCGAAATGGTTATTGGGAGCTTAGAGACTGAAGAACTGAAAACTGCTCCGAAATCGGTTGTTTGGTTTCCAAAATATTTCCGGTTAGGTTAGGTTAGGTTAGGTTAGGTTAGGTTAGGTTAGGTTAGGTTAGGTTAGGTTAGGTTAGGTTAGGTTAGGTTAGGTTAGGTTAGGTTAGGTTAGGTTAGGTTAGGTTAGGTTAGGTTATTAGTTAGGTTAGGTTAGGTTAGGTTAGGTTAGGTGGT